TATTTTTTGAGACAGGGTTTCTCTGTATAGCCCGGGCTGTCCTGGAACTCACTCTGTAGACCAGGCTGGCCTCGAACTCAGAAATCCGCCTGCCTCTGCCTCCCAAGTGCTGGGATTAAAGGCGTGCGCCACCACCACCCAGCTTGACCAGGAATATCTTGAAATCATCTTTAAAGAAAGCTACCTTGGAACTGGAGAGAGAGCCCAGCAGTTAAGAGCACCCGCTGCCCTGGCACAGGACCCAGGCTAGGATCCCAGCATCCACATGGCGGCTTACAACCATCTGTAACTCCAGGTCCATTGGGATCTGATGCCTTCTTCTGACCTCTATGAGTATCAAACATGTATGTGGTACACGGACATCCATACATGCAGACACAACTCATACACATAAATTAAGTTAAATATGTCTAAAGACAATTTTTAAAAGAAATCTGACCTTAGATTACTCCCATGCGCACAGTTTTAAACCCATGCCAAGCCAGTGAAAGGAGTGGCATCTGGAAGCCTCAGATTCTTGTGGAAGTCTGGCTGAAGAGCACCTGTAGTCAGTCTTGGAAGACACCAAGCAATTAAGCAACAAGGCGTTATCGGTGATGAGGTTCAATCTCCCTTCAGGTGAACTCCGTTTACAAATTAACACAAGCAAAACACCCCCTGCATAAAATTAAGGTAAGTCTTAATACAGTGATGGATGAGGACCTAAAAGTGTGAGCTGAATAAACCATTTCCTCTCTTAAGCTATTTTTCTATCAAAAACAAAACAAACAAACAAAAAACAAGGTAAGTCTTAATAGGTAAACCTGCCTAGCCCAGCAGAGGCAGCTGTTTCCTCAGGTGGCCACTAGGTGGCACTGAAGACCAGATCAAGAAGGCTACTCGGTTAAGTTCAGGACTGTGGTGGGCAGTCCTCATTTGGTTTCTGATGAAGGAGTCCACCCACAGACAGACAGGGACAAGAGATGCCTTGACAATCCCGTGGGCTGCCGTAAGAGGAGCCAGAAAGTGGAGTGAGTGATGGCTCCAGGGACTGGGACCGGCCCCACCTAAAGGCACAAGGCCGTGTTTCATTCCTTTCAAAAGACCAGCCAGACTCAATGACAACGTGAAGCAGAAATACTATGGGTGGTGGAGAGCCGGCGGCATCCAGGAAGTCCAAGAGTGTGGAAGGAAAGGGTGACTGGGAGTGTCCTGGGCACCTCCCTCCCCAACACAAATCAAAACAAACACCCTTGTGTCTCATCAGAGAGCCTGTCTGTGGGTGGCTTCACGGGCCAGGATCTGGGCTCAGGTCCCAGGTAGGGACAAGCTGGAGTAAAGACAGAGAAAGGGCTCAATTTCACGGAGATCCATGGTCCCTGTGAAAGAGGGTTGGACCTTGACTGGGCTCCTCCTTGGACCTGTCTGGAGAAGCATTCTGATGAAGATGGGCTCTTTAGTGTCCTCCAGGATTCCCAAGCTGAGACGCAGGGCACCAGTGCTGCCCGGTGAGAGAGGCCAGTTCATGGCTGGAAAGGGCTGGAGTTGGGCCCTCTCTCCATTTTGGGGGAGGGGTCATCCGGGGAGAACAATCTGGAACTCACGTCAGTGCGTCCATGATGGTATCTGGGATCACCTGAGCAGCTCACTGGCAAATCCCAGCCAGCCCCGCCCCCGCCAACCCCGCCCCTGCCAACCACCGGCACCAAGAATGGTGGACTCTAGGGGGTGTAGCTCTCAGTCTTGTCAGTGGCTTCCCCCACCAGAGCATCTCATAAGGACAGTCGCTGTGTGCTTCCATCCTTCCCTCTGGGAACCCCCCTCCCCCACCGTGATAAACAAGGACGGAGATACCCACGACCGCTCAGGCAGAGGCCTGTTCTGTGTGTCCAGGTTTTACAGTGTGTGGTTCGCAACCCACGCTTCAAGCTCTTCCTCCCTCAGCACCTCCACCTTCCACACTGGGAAGTCAAGCGTGTCTGTGGCACTGTCTCCAAGCTACTCAACTACCCCTGTGACGCCAGTTCCACACCGAGACATTCAAATGCAGCCTGGTGCAGGGGCATGTGCCTTTAATGCCAGCATTTGAGAGGCAGAGGCAGGTGGGTCTCTGTGAGTTTGAGGCTAGCCTGGTCTACAGAGTGAAACCGTCAAGTGTGTCTACGGCATCCCCCTACTCTCTCCTGCCTCTGGCCCTATGTAGCACAGACTGTTGCTCAGTCATGCAGTGTAGACAATGAACAGATGCCACCTCTCCTAGAGCCTGTCATGGTGCTTGCCTGTAGCCTTCAGGGGTGTTGACCTCCAGCACAGCACAGTACTTAGGACTAGGTACATTGGTCATCAGCTTTAGCTCTAGTTCCCTACAGATTATCTTAGGACTCACATAGGGACACCCACACATCTTAGTTAAGGACCTGATGAAGAACAGCTACCAAGTGGCACCAGGGAACCTTTCATATGCCACAGAATTCCTGTGACACCCTTCTGAGACTTCTGTCTGGAGATAAGGATAGGAAATGGCTGGAGACTGGCCCTTGGCTGCACACTTGGTGACAGGCTGACAGCTTAGAGCTGTCAGGGAACCCATCTTTCTGAGAGCAACCCATAGCCTGTCCCTCACCATGCCCAAGAGTCTGTGCTTTGCCTCTGCGCATGGGCTCTGGGGCTCCTCCAGAGTCCCAAGCCATGGCCCAGCACACCCTTGGCCCGATCCCCGCAGTTTCTGGCCTCACAGCCTTTATGTTGTCTAAGGTCAGAACAGTCTGTGCAGGTTCTGTGCCTCCGATTAGAATACCCGTCTGGAACTTGCCTGGAAAAAGTGCTCGGGCCGGGCGGTGGTGGCACACGCCTTTCATCCCAGCACTTGGGAGGCAGAGGCAGGCGGATTTCTGAGTTCGAGGCCAGCCTTGTCTACTGAGTGAGTTCCAGGACTGCCAGGGCTACACAGAGAAACCCTGTCTCGAAGAAACAAAAACAAAAACAAAAAAAAAAAAAAAAGAAAAGAAAAAAAGAAAAGAAAAACTGCTCGGCCGTAGATGTACAGTGGAGATTGGATTTTTATTTTTATTTTTTATTTTTTTTCTCAAGACAGGGTCTCTCTGTGTAGCCCTGGCTGTCCTGGAACTCACTCTGTAGACCAGGCTGGCTTGGAATTCAGAAATCTGCCTGCCTCTGCCTCCCAAGTGCTGGGATTAAAGGCGTGTGCCACCATTGCCCGGTGGATTTTTTTTTTTAAATAAATGAGTAAATGAAGGAACACCAGGGGTGACCAAGGTCTCCAAGGACCATAGACACGTGGCACAGACGGACAGGAAATTCCAAATGGCAAAGGTCTGGGGTAGGACTGATTGATTGGGGGAGGGGCTTTCCCAGGGAGACTGATGTTGGGGTGGAGATGGGCCTAAGCCACACAGGGCCTAAAGGGACACAACAAGGTCCCAAGTTTTGCTTCAAGGGCATGGAATGCTATCACTCCTCCGTGTGCTTCTTCTTCAATACATCCCTTTCCCAAAATAGTGAACTCTTTCTGCCCTGGCCTAGTTTTAAGCACCAGGAGTAGAGATACCCCAAAACAAACATCCACCAGGGAGCACCTCAAAGCACACAAAAGTGACTTTAATTTCAGGACACAGGGCGGCCTTGAGTCTCCACAAAGACCACCGCCATCTGCAAACTGAGTCCTGCCAGCTGGAACCTGCCAGCTCTTGGTGCTAACCAGCCCAGTCCGCTTAGAACAGAGTGGCTGTAGGTGTAAGGTCACTAGGCTTCATCCGATGGGGTGGGGTGGGTGAATGGGTGGGTGGGGGCCGGCGCAATGCTGCCAGACTCCTTCCTGGGTCACCTGGGGTCAGGATGAGAAGGGTGGTGTCTCAGCCAGTGGGCGTGACATGCTCTGGATGGCCCACTGCAGGATGCCGTCGAAAGAGTGCTAGGAAAGAGTGGCACAGGGGGTTAGCGCTGTTGGACGTCCTCGGATACCTACTGTGCCATGTCCATGGGATTGTGACCATCATTTATTTATTTATTTATTTATTTGTTTGTTTGTTTGTTTGTTTTTTTGAGACAGGGTTTCTCTATTTAGCCCTGGCTGTCCTGGAACTCTCTCTGCAGACCAGGCTGGCCTCAAACTCAGAAATCCACCTGCCTCTGCCTCCCAAGTGCTGGGATGAAAGGCGTGCACCACCACTCCCCGGCACTATTTTTTAAAGAGTTATTTTATTTATATGAGTACACTGTTGCTGTCTTCAGACACACCAGAAGAGGGCATCAGATCCCATTACAGATGGTTGTGAGCTGTGGACACTAAGACTTGAACTCAGGACCTCTGGAAGAGCAACCAGTGCTCTTAACCACTGAGCCATCTCTCCAGCCCTACTCATTACTTTTAAGTGTGTATGTGCATATGAGTGTGTGTCTGTGCCTGTATGTGTATGTTTGTCTGTGTGCATGTGTGTCTGTATGTATATGTGTGTGCCTGTATATGTATATGTGTACATGTGTGTGTCTATGTATGTGCCTGTGTTCACATATGTACAGACGCCTCAGATCCCCTGGAGTGGAATGATAAACAGTTAAAAGCCACCTGACATGGCTGCTGGGAACCAAACCTGGGTCCTGTGCAGGAGCAATACTCTTGTATCTCTCTAGCCCCTCAGGTTTGTTTTTGTTTTTGTTTGTGTTTGTTTTTGTTTTTTGAGACAGAGTTTCTCTGTGTAGTCCTGGCTGTCTTGGAACTCACTCTGTAGACCAGGCTGGCTGCAAACTCAGAAATCCACCTGCCTCTGCCTCCCAAGTGCTGGGATTAAAAGTGTGCGCCACCACTGCCCAGCACCCCTCAGGTTTTGGAGATAGAGTTTCATAATGTAATTTAGATTAGCATCCACCTACATCTGCCTCCCAAGCACTGCGAATCAAAGACCTGGGCCATCACACTGGGCCCTACCTTTCCATCTCAAGAAGCAGAAACTTGCATTAGGAGGGGTAAGAGAGAGGTCCCTGAAAGACCCTACCAGCTCTCCCTGAAAAGTCAAGGACTTAAACACCCCTGGTTCTGAGGCCCTGAGGATAACAAGACTCCCAGATTCGAGGCTCCTAGTGGGAGAAATCGGCAGGTAGGAGGAGGCCAGCCCCCTACACAGAAGTAGTGACACATACTCACTGTTCTGGGAAGAGCAGCTAAGAGGGTGGGGTACTACTGGCCTGCTGATACTGCCTGACTGGGGGCAGCAAAGAATCTGTGACTATAGCCCAGACTAGGTGACATATTACCTCATTCAGGAGGGACTCCAGGTCATCCCTATGTAGAACGGGGTCATGACTAGCAGAGTCGTCCCCTACCTGGAACCAAAGCAAAGAGTCAACTGTCAACCCAACTTAGCAGCAGGCTGGGGACCAGAAGCAGGACTCTGACTTGTGGGGGCAGCAGCCTGTACCCCACCACAGAGCAGACTCACACCTAGCTCCTCAGGCTGGGGACACAGGCAGGGTGGGGGAGACCAGCCTGTGATCCCCAGAGAGACATGGTGGCCAGTCAGTGTCTTTCTCTGCTTTTACTGGTCACATGAGCTGTACTTAGTTGGACCTGCCCTGGACATAGTGACAGAGGTCCAGTCAGGAAGCAGCAGGCTCCAGTTAGGAGCTCATAGTGAAGCTAGTGGAGGCCCCACCGATCAATCCTCTTCTTTTTTTTTTTTTTTTTTTTTTTTTGGTTTTTCGAGACAGGGTTTCTCTGTATAGCCCAGGCTGTCTGGAACTCACTCTGTAGACCAGGCTGGCCTCAAACTCAGAAATCCACCTGCCTCTACCTCCCAAGTGCTGGGATTAAAGGTGTGCGCCACCACTGCCCGGCCAATCCTCTTTTTCTAGAAGTGGCTTTCACTTGCCCATCTTCCCTGTTTGTGTCTAGACTCTAGAACAGTGGTTCTCAATCTTCCTAATGCTTTGACCCTTTTTTTTTTTTTTTAAAGATTTATTTATTTATTATATATGAATACACTGTAGCTGTCTTCAGACACACCAGAAGAGGGCATCGAATCTCATTACAGATGGTTATGAGCCACCATGTGGTTGCTGGGATTTGAACTCAGGACCTCTGGAAGTGCAGTCAATGCTCTTAACCACTGAGCTATTTCTCCAGCCCATGCTTTGACCCTTTAATACAGTTCCTCACAATGTGATGACACCCCCCACCACCACCATTGTCGCTACTTTGTAACTGTAATTTTGCTACTGTTGCGAGTCTCAAATATCAGATATTTCCGATGTTCTTGGGCAATCCTGTGGAAAGATTGTTTGACACCAAAGGTTGAGGACCACAGCTTGAAAGGCTCGGCAAAGCTCGCCCTATGCTTTCCTGGGTCCTCCAGCAGAATCCTAGGATTAATAGGGTCCGATGTAGTCTCCCAGATGTTCTCAATCTCGTAAGGTCAACCTGCAACTAGGGGCCCGGATTTATGAGGGAAAGCTGGAGTCTAACCCTGAGCTACCCATACCCTCTGCCACCTTGCATAACACATCTTCACAAGATGTCTCCCTTCTACCCATGAACACAAGGGACAGCTAGGGGCCCAAGCCTGGGGCCCACGCCTATCTCAGCAGTACTGTGGAGTAGCAAATGGCTGGAGCTGGATACTGCCTTTTTCTCCTTAGGCCTCAGATCTCCAGGCAAAGCTCAGTCCCTGCCCAGTTAGTAAAAATGGAGGTGAAATAGAGGTAGACTTGGGTAGGTGGTTCTCGGGGTCATCAAAAGCCAGCAGCTTTCTTTGGCTTTCCTCCCCAAATGGAGATCTCTCTCTCTCTCTCTCTCATATTCTCTCTCTCTCTCTCTCTCTCTCTCTCTCTCTCTCTCTCTCTCTCTCCTTCCCCCTACCCAGACCAGTAGTTGGCCGGCCTGGATCTCCCAGCCATTCTGAGAGCTGTTCTTCAATTTCAGCAGAGGATCTGGCCATGAGGTATCTCCCAGTGGTCTTGTTTTGAATTAAGCCAACTTCCCTGAGGTCCAGAGCTCTCTGATCAGAGCTCTGAGGCCCATGGACTCCCAGGAACCCAGGACCAACAGTGAGTTCATAGCTATTTGGAAGGTTTCCCTTTAAAATACATGGTTTTGTCTAGAAAGGGTTTTACTGTGTTGCCCTAACTGACCTGGAAGCTACTATACAGATCAGACTGAACTCTTACTTACAGAGACCAGCCTACCTTTATTGCTGGGTGCTGGGGTTAAAGTCCTGCCCTATACATCCAGCCTTTCCCTTTTAAATAGATCCAATGTATCAAAATAAGTTGTTTGTTTATTGAAAAACACTTTATAAAAGTAACTAGGGAGCTGGAATTTGTGACACACACCTTTGATCCCAGCACTAGTCTTAAAAACAAACAAACAAAGGATGGAGAGATGGCTCAGTGGTTAAGAGCACTGGCTGCTCTTCCGGAGGTCCTGAGTTCAACTCCCAGCAACTGCATGGTGGCTCACAACCATCTGGAATGGGATCCGATGTTCTTTTCTGATGTGTCTGAAGACAGCTACAGTGTACTCATATGCATAGAATAAATAAATAAATAAATAAAATGCTTTCTTTCTGGGCTGGAGAGATGGCTCCAAGGTTAAGAGCCCTGACTGCTCTTCCAGAGGTCCTGAGTTCAATTTCCAGCAACCACAGGGTGGCTCACAACCATCTGGAATGGGATCTGATGCCCTCTTCTAGTGTGTCTGAAGGTAGCTATAGTGTCTTCATATAAATAAAAAATAAATCTTAAAAGACAAAAAAGGATTAATTTTAAAAAATAAACAAGTCTAGGAAGAGAGTCAAGTAAGTGCCTTTAATCCCAGCACTTGGGAGGCAGAGGTAGGTGGATCTCTGAGTGTGAGGTCAGCCTGGTCTACAGAGTGAGTCCCAGACAGCCAAAGATCTGTAGTGAGACCCTGCCTCAAAAAACAAAACTAAACAAATACAAACAAAAACCAAAAAACAACAAACACCCAAAAATCCCCACCACCCCCAAGAAAGTAATGGGACACACGGTTATTGAATTCGGGTTTAAATTCTCTTCCACTTCCACAGGCTCTCACCTGGACTGACCATACACTGGCCCACTGACCTTGGCAAGTACAGGTGCTGGACGGGGCACAGAGGTGGGCGCAGGCTCGCCTGGGGTGCCTGGTGTGGGAGTCGGGTCTGCGGAGCAGAACTTGCAGCGGAGGTTGGTCCTGTAGGAGCGGAGAGGAGAAAGCTTACTGGCTCGGAGAACTTTCGGGGGTGGGTGGGGTCGCTGGCTACTCTGCCACCCGTGCCACCTCACTCACCCAGGCCGGACAGCAGCCGTCGGGAAGTGACAGCGCCAGTGGAAGGCAGCGGCACAGTGTGCGCACCGCAGCACGTCGGTGCTGTCTCCGCACACACCGCATCGCGCGCTTCGTGCTGGACCCTGCAGGAGCGACATGGGCGGTAACCCAGCCTGTGTCCTGCTCACCCTGTTATATCCTACCAGCCCGGGTTAACTGGGGAAGCTCATGGTTTCAAGTCGCATGAGTGGGACTGTAAGTTATTGAGGCCTTGATGTTCCAAGGGAGGCAGGGGTGACCTTAAGAAATGTCAGGAAGCAGCTGTCCAAGCTGCTTTCCATGGGCCATTTAGCTCTGATCCCACCAACTGTAGGACTCCAGAAGTGCTTTGGAGGAGGGGGGAAGGGAGAGGACTGTGAGAGGGGGTAACCAGGAGGGGGGAAGGGAGCAGCATGTAAAGTGATTAAGTAAAATAAAAAAGAGCCGGGGGCGGTGGTGGCGCACACCTTTAATCCCAGCACTTGGGAGGCAGAGGCAGGTGGATTTCTGAGTTCGAGGCCAGCCTGGTCTACAGAGTGAGTTCCAGGACAGCCAGGGCTATACAGAGAAACTCTGTCTCGAAAAACAAAAACAAAGCAAACAAACAAAAAAAAGAAAAGAAAAGAGAGAAAGAAAAGAAAAGAAAATTAAATTTAAAAGGGGGTGAGGTCCAAAAAAGACAAAAAGAAAGATAACCAACGGAAGTGGGCAGGATCTGGGGGGTTCTGAGATGTTTGTTGTCCTGCCTCACGGTGCAGGAGGATGTATTACCAGGATAACCAAGCTAAGCCTGTCTGTCTGTCTGTCTTCCTTCCCTTCTTTCTAGCTAATTCACTATTTATTTGTGGTTGTGGTTGTGAGCGTGGAGATCAGAGGACCACTTGCAGACCGTGAGTCTTTCTTTCTACCACGTGAGTCTTGGGAATGCAACTCAGGTCCTCCATCTTGGCCATGAGCCCTGCCCCCCACCCCCCAGCCATCTCCAAGGCCCAGATGGATTTGGGGACTATCAGAGTTGTGTGACAGGGCTGATATCTTTGCAGGAACCCTTCCTAGGTGCTCTCCCCACAGCCCCTGTGCCCACTGTTAGAGGAACAAGTTTCTCTTGACAGAGCCCTCCCCTGACTCCAGGAATGTCGATCTAATTCCTAGCCCTTGGGAGTCCACCAGAGGTCCTGTTTTGGGCTTACAACTGTCCTGTAGGTCCAGAGCTCCCAGAAGTTAGTACCCAGGCCCCAGAGGTCCCCTTCACTCACCGGCTGCCCCTCAGTCCCAGCACTCAGTAGAGGGCATGGTGCTGAAGGCTCCAGCAGAGGGGCTGCAGAAGGAAGGGCTGGTAGGTTCACGTAAGTGACCGCAGCATCGGAGCTGGCTGGGAGCTCCCTGGACAGGCCCCTGGTTTTCTCTGAAGCTGACCTCAGTCCCAGGAGGATCTGGAATTCAAGGGTCAGCATTCAGGGGCCACAAGGCACTGCTCAGCACCACCTAGGAGTCAGGACTGGGCTGCTGTGGTGGGTCTGAGGTCGGAAAGGCTTGGTACAGGCTTAAGAGATGGTTCAGTGGCTAAGAGCACTGGCTACTCTTCCAAAAGACCTAGGTTCAAGTCCCAGCACCTACATGGCAGGCCACAACTGTCTGTAACTCCAGTTCTAGGGGATCTGACACCTTCACACAGACATACATACAGGCAAAATGCCAATACACATAAAATAAAAATAAATTAAAAAAAAAAAAGAAGAAGAAAAGGCTGAGTGTGTGGCTCCATGGCTCTTAGATCTGGTGACAATGGCCTCGGGGCCAGCCAGAGCAAACCAGGTTTCTAACAGGAGAGCTCCCAAGGCTTTTAGAGACTCAACAGTGGAGAAGCAGGAGGGCCAGAGCCAGCTTGGGAAGCTGTCCTTTATCCTTTGGCCCCTCAACCCCACAGGGAATTCAGCAGAAAGGCTACTCAGGAGGCCTGAACAGAGCATGGCACTAAAGCCCGGGCATGCAGAACTCACAGGAGAAGCTGTAGAGAGACAGAAGGCAGGTGACCCAATATAGGCATACCGGAGTCTCCGCAGGTGGTTCCAGGGGCCTGGACTGCACAGGCTGGGGCAGGTTCTGCTGGACCCTGCCCTGGAGGCAGCAGGAGCATCTCCAGAGGCCACTATGTAGGAAGCTACTAGTCACAGGCATGCCAAACAAAGCAGAGATCATAGACCACCCACCCCCAGAACTGTAACGGCAGAGATGGCTTGAGGACCCTCTGTGTCACCGTGCTCATTCACAGATGGGAAGCCAAACCCAGGAATAAGAGTCAGGTACCATCAGGGAAGTTGAGTAGGATGTGGGCTATTTATCCCTGGAGGGTGGCTCTGGACAGAGAGTCAGGGTCCCTATAGTGATTCTCTGCTAATTCTTAAGAATACTCTGCTCAGTACCCCTCATCGCCTGTGCCTGCTTGTCATATGCCTGCCCTGTGGGCTCCCTCAGGTACATTGTATCCATCCTCAGTACACCCAGGGTCCTGTAGGGATGGGCCAGTGGGGGAGGGGAGATAAGGGCCGCTGCCTTCAGCTACACTGTTTCCATCCTCAGTACACCCACAGTCAGGTCGGGATGGGCCAGTGGGTGAGGGGAGGTAAGGGCTGGAGGGGAAGGACCCTGGTGGAAGCAGTCAGAGCCCAGGCTAGCCCCCACAGACTGCTGCACACTTCCCCTTAGAACAGAGGGCTGTGCAGTCAGTGATTGGGGTAACAGTACATCTTTGTGGGAGTGAGATGGGGAGGGGGGGTGGGAAAAGGCCTGTGCCCAAATATGGCCATCTTTGCCTCAGGACATCATATTATGGCTGCCTTTTGGCCTGTTGGCCCTGAGTGGCCCACGTGGCAGGGCACAGAGATAGCTTCCGGTATGGCAAGAGAGTCCTACCATGTCCACAGCTCTTCCTGAAGGGCCCTCACTGTCCTCTGTGGAGGCTGGTAGGCTTCCTCGAGGTCAGTGGATAAGGACGGTGGTGGATCAGGGTGGCCAGGATATAAGTAGCAAGCAGGGATGGAGAGGTCTGCTCACCTGGGGATCTCCTGCAGAGGTGGGGACAGGCAAGCCAGGTGGAAGGCCCGGGGACAGCCATCACAGCAGATGAGTTCACCTCCGTCGTGGCACACGGCACACTCATCCTCGTTCTTCTGACCAGGCAAGAGGGACCCAGAACGGAACACAGTGCCCGCCTGAGAGACCGGCTTGGGACAATGCTCACCACTGGGGACTGGCTCCCAGGTTCCCTCTGGGCTCTCTCATTGGCCCCTGCCTGACCTCTGTAATGTCTCTACAGTACTGGCTCTCACACAGACCTAGGGGGTGTCCCTCTCAAGAAGAAGTGCTGGATGCCAGGCAGCTCCCAGTGGGAAAACTCTGCTAATTAAGGTCAAAGTCCACCTGTGACCCAATAGCCTCTGGGCTCAGGGCAATATAGGCGATTCCCTTTTTTTTTTTTTTTTTTTTTTTTTCGAGACAGGGTTTCTCTGTGTAGTTCTGGCTGTCCTGGAACTCACTCTGTAGACCAGGCTGGCCTCGAACTCAGAAATCTGCCTGCCTCTGCCTCCCAAGTGCTGGGATTGTGATTCCCTTTATTAACAAGATTTCTCCTTCTTTGACCTTGTCTGGGGAATTCTAAGCCCCCCACCTAGGCCTCTACCTGAAAAATGTCACGTACGTAGCCTCAGTTAGATTACAGGACCAATTTCCTTTCTCCTGATAAAGCCCCTGTTCATCCAGTACCTAAGATTCCTGAATTGCTGCCCCTTGCTAATGAGTCATTTCAGGTACCCCAAGCCCCCAGCTGATGATCTTTGCCCATCCTGGATGTCCCTACCCTCAGACCCCCCAAAAAACGTTATAAGCCTTGAATCACCCTAAGTAAAGTTGATCTGCCTCCTGATAGCTGGTCCCAGTGCAGTCCGGGCCAACAACCCACGAGAGTAGGGAGACCCACAGTTCCCTAGGTTGACCACCACCCACCTAATAGGACAGCCGGTGAATGGGCCTGTGGGGTTTCCTGTTAGTCCTGGGTACCTCCTGTCATCGTCCCATTTTCTACCTTATGCTTTTATCAGGATGGAAGGAATTCTGAGTCTGGATACCACCTCCTCAAGAAGCTCCCAGATGCCAGGCCGTGCTGGCCCACGCAGTGACCACCACATACATGGGAATACTTTCACAGGCCCCCAGTAACCAGGGCGCTTTTGTGGAGCCGGACAGAAACTGGACCCTCCTACCCTTGATGCCTGGGGCCAGTAGAGTACCTGGCTCTGAGGTGTTGGGATCCATAATCAATGACAGCAGCACAACAACACCAGTGATGCTGGGGAGGACAGGATGAGCTTGATATCCTCAGATAGCCCTCATACTCGGGCTATCTCTACCCTACCCCCAGCTAGAATGCTTTTTGTAGGCTGGATGGAATGTGTGGGTTTTTTGGGTTTTGTTTTTGTTTTTTTAGTTTTTGTTTGCAAGACAGGGTTTCTCTTTGTAGTCCTGGATGTCCTGGAACTCTGTAGACCAGGCTAGCCTCAAATTCACAGAGATCTACCTACCTCTGCCTCTTTAGGGCTGGGATTAAAGGCATACACCACCCAGCTGAAGGTGTGATTTTTTTTAAAAGCAGCTCGCCTGCCTGCTGTGACTAATTTGAAATTTCCCAATATGCATTATCTTCGGAAAGAAAACTTCCAAGAAAGAGCAGAGGGGGAGGAAGTGGAGGAAAGAGAAGGGAGGGAAGAGGAAGGGAGCTGCCCTCCATGTCCTAGCCCCCCCCCACACACACACACACTCCCTTCTTGGGACTTACCTGGTGAACCTGGGGCTCACTGGGGAGGGGTGGAAGGGGAGGGACCCCACACTGCTGGCCCACTTTCTGTTCATCTCTACCCTAGGAGAGACACGGGGTCATAACGAGGTAGCCAGGGTCAGGGAAGATCTATGTGGCCACCAGTAGTACCAAGTACCTCTGGGAAGCAACTCCCAATCCCCAGGAAGAACTCTAGGCTTTTTTTTTGGGGGGGGGAGGCTATCAAAGGAAGGCCCAACTCCCCCAAAATGGACATGTTGGGTAAAGCTTACAGGTATAGTGGCCTGGGTTCCCTTCGCTCGGACCACTGGCTTTAGGCTGCTACCGCTTCGGGCCTTGTTCTTCAAATTGCCACTGGAGTCTTCAAACTTGCTGGGTGTGTAAAACTCCCCCCCAACCTGGATGCACTTCTTGGAACCTCCTGGGAAAGAGGCAGACTAACTGAGCTCACAGTGGGGGTCTGGCAGAACTGGGGCTGTGTACAGTTAGGGATACTTTGCTAGGTACTGTACTAAGGTAAACAGTGTCCTTCCTCATAAGCTGAGAACAGGACCTTACTGGAAACGGGGTCTTTGGAGATAGAGTTAGTTAAGACGCTGTCATAGCCAGGCGTGGTGGCGCACGCCTTTAATCCCAGCACTTGGGAGGCAGAGGCAGCCGAATTTCTGAGTTTGAGGCTAGCCTGGTCTACAGAGTGAGTTCCAGGACAGCCAGGGCTACACAGAGAAACTATGTCTCGAAAAACCAAAAACAAACAAACAAACAAACAAGACAAGCAACCAACCAAACTGAAAAAAAAAAAAAAAAAACAAACAGAAACCCCAACAACAAAAAGATGTCATACTAGCCCTTAAATCCAATGTTCTTACAAAGAAAGGTGAAATCAGAGAGGCGTAGTCAGACAGGAGAAAGGCTATCCCCAGAAGTAAGTATTCCAACAGCAGCACTTCATGCTAAAGGCAACAGAAGGGACCCTCCAAAGCCCATGGAGGGATGAGTCCCTGCCCACACCTTGACTTTGGAATCTGTTGTTACAAGCCCAGGGGGGCTTTTTTGTTCTAATAACCCCAGAAGAGGAAGACAAGATTCTTAGGGCTGCTCTGACCAGGGCTGGCATCAGCTCCATGGACATCCTGGTTGTCCATGGCATCCAAGTCCAGTGTCCAGGATGGGGGAGATGCTACGGAGAAGATTCTGCAATGATGAGTGTGCCCGTCCCCAGCTCTGACCTGTTCATATAATCTGGGTGGTTGTATAAAGTGACCCTACTAGCTGACCAAGTGGGGAGGCAGTTGTGGGAGGAGGCTGGACAAAGAGTGAGAGTACTGGACAGGACATAGATGCCTGAGGCAGGGCAGTAGGATGTGGTGGGCTGTCTTGGGTGGGCAGTATGGTCCCCTGAAAGAATTGGAGCACACCGGAAAACTCAGGATGTTCCCTGTGATTAGCAGCACCCACTGTAGTGGAGGAGGTGGCATTCCATGGCTGAATGCGACCATGAACCACTGGCCTGACAAAAGAACCCCCCTCCCCAAGTAGGGGGCCTTCCACATCAGCACTGTACTACAAAGCCAGCAGACCTGCATGTGACACACTGGCTGGCCGTGGCCACAGCTGCCCTAGAAGTACTTCTTCCATTTTGAAAGCCTGGGTCTCCCTGGTAGCCTGCGTCCATAGCATTTACCTGACTCAAACACCTGCTGGATAACAATCCCTTCCACGGCCCCTCGTGTTCCCGGGACATCCCCGGAGGACATGGTTACAGCTCTCTGGACTGAAGCTGCCATGGTCTGAATTCCTGGAGAGGGTCCGACACAAATAGACGCACATGCATGAGCACGGGTCTGTGGGGACAGCAGTGTTGATTGTGTAGAGCCCCATGGTAGATTGATAAGAATCTCATGGTGGTGCGGGACCTGCCTTGTTCTGGGGCACAGAGTTCCTAGGCCATCTGGGGGTGAGGACCAGGAAGCACAGGTGTATGATGGGTAGTGGGTGGGTGTGGTCAAGGTCGGGCCCAGCTGATGAGCAAGGATTGTTTCCTCGTGGCTATGTTTCTGGGATGACTGGAAGGTTGGGGACATTAGAATGGGCATCGGTCTGGGAGGAAGACACCCAGGGCATTGTGGGTAGGAGACTGACAAGACAGTTGGATCTAAGGAGTCTCTGTCTTTCTCTGGCTTTGTCATCCAGCTGACGCCAATGGGATCAGATCCCCTTCAACTTCCACTCTTGGCCTCACTCACCATTTCCCAGTGGGAGGCGTTGGGACTCCAAATTGCCTTCTGGCTTCTTAGGGTGCTTGGCCTTTGGGTGGGAGCCTGTGAAGGGGAGGTGTTGATGGGTCCGGGGTATAAAATGAAGTTGGAGAGAGAGCACCTGGTAAGGGTCCTATCAAAGGTTCCCTGACTCCCTGAGGGCTCTTAAGCTGTGATGGGCTGTTTCCTTCTTCAACAGAAAGGAAATCAAAACCACCTGTCCGCCTCACCACCCAGGAACTCAGTCTCCAGGACAGCAAGAGGCTGAGAGGCTGTGGGCCTCCTCTGATGCTCAGGTCTGAACACTCAGAGATGACTCTGTAGCTCGGGTAGGCTGGCCCTGGGGTAGTGTCAGTAAGACAGAGAGGCTCCTGAGAGCCTCCGGGAGGGCCCAGCAACCCTGGTTAGCTCCTTTTGAGTACCTGGGCTGGAGAGGCTCTTTGAGGCCGGAGTTGCTGGTGGGATGGCTCGAGGCTCCTCCAGTGCTCTTCTCTTGGTGGGGGGTCTAGGTGGCTGTACCGAGGGCTTGGGACCAGCAAGGGGCTTCCTCCCTTTCCGGGGCTGGCTAAGGTCCACATCTGCAGCTCAAGGGACAGGAACAATGGTCCTGTCTTAAAGCCTTATCTTCAGGGTGAGCTCTAGAACAGGGAACTCTTGAGGAAGAGAGAGAGCAGACTTCTGCCCTGTGCCTCTTAGGATCTGCCCAGGTTCTAGTGGTTCCCTTAAAACATGTCCCGACTTATCTCCGTAATCCCAATGCTACCCATTGGCTGAGAGCATCAGCGCCAGCCTCAGCACGGGCCCACCTTTTGGGAAGCCGTCCAGGATGGTATGCAGACGGCTGTACCGCTCCAGATTGTAGTCCTTAAAGAGAACCCTCCAGAAATCCAGGATGGCCCCACTGTCCCGGGTCAGGAGCCAGGACAGCAGGGCGTAGAAGGCCTGGGAGCAGCCTTCCTTCTCCTTCAGCCGAAGTGTCTCCTGTAGTGACAGCATCGGGGGCTACCTGTGCATACCATTTCTCTAGCCCCTGCTGCCTCTTTGGGAGAAGGGAGACCTGCCTATTCTTGCCAATCCCTGGACCCAGGAAGTCGGGGTGCACAGAGTCAGGGAACTCACCTGAAATTGACCTGGAGAGGTCTCCTGAGGAGGGGCTTTGGACTACTCCTTGGCTGGTAGGGGGAGGGTGTGGGTATAGTATGGGTGTTGGCAAAGGTTGGAACGGATCACCTAGTCTGTGGGTAGAGGAGTGGGGAGACTGAGAAGCGCCGGGGGCGGGGCAGGAGCCCACCTGGAACTTGTCCTCGGGGACCACGTCGTGGTCGGCTAGAGCATGCAGCAGCGGAAAGGCGCTGTCTATGGCCACTGCGATCTCGGTGCGGTGCAGCCTCAGCAGGCGGCGCAGCGTCCCATCCCCACCGGCCATCCTCCCGACGGGGCTGCGCTTTGGCGCCCCCTGCTGGTCCCCGCGCGCTTGCGTTCCCTTCTCCCTTCCATGGGTATCTTGGTGCTATATATACCGGGAGGCGGTGAGCATATCTACTTATTGACCAGCCGTGAAAAGGTGACGTTTGTCTTACTCAGCGACTCTGATATACTTTCAACCAGGAAAGAGCAGAGGCTGCTGTTTAGCCTGGAGCCAATCAGGGCCCAGCATCCGAAGGCAAGAATAGAGACTGCCCTACCGCTGGGTTAGGAGGCTCTGGTATACTTCCCTGTGCCATCCAGGGCAGCTGCCTGGGTCCAGAGTAGAGAAAGTGGGAAATTTGCCCCGCCAGTCTTCCTACAGAGGATCTGTTTATGGGTTAAAACCCAGAACTAGCTGGGAAGATGGCTCTGTGGAAAAATTGCCTACCAGGTAAACCTGAGTCAGGCCAATGCTGGGGAGGCAGAGGCAGGAGCTCACTGACCAGGCAACTAGCTGAATGGATAAGCTAAAGGTTCAGGGATAGAATCTGCCTCAAAAAATTAGGTGAAAAGCTGGGTGGCTCACGCCTTTAGTGCCAGCACTAGAGAGGCAGAGGCAGGAGGATCTCTGTAAGTTTGAGGCCAGCTTAGTCTAAAAAGTGAGTTCCAGGACAGCCAGGGATACACAGGGAAAAACCCTACACAGAGAAACAGAATTTAAAAAAAAAAAAAAGGTTAGTTGAAGAACAATTGAAAAACACACCCTATATTAACCTCTAGTTCCATACACCACAAGTGCATACACAAGCAAGAGTGTACACACACACACACACACACACACACACAGAGAGAGAGAGAGAGAGAGAGAGAGAGAGAGAGACAGAGAGAGACAGAGAGAGAGAACAAGAACTTAAAAAGAGACAGACTAGAAAGATGGCTCAAGGATAACAGTGCATGTTGCTCTTGCAGAGAACCTGGGTTTGTTTCTCAAACATCCACAGGATGGCTCACAGCGTTTGTAACTTCAGTTCCAGGGGCTCTGACGCCCCCTTTGGCGTCTACTGACACTGCATGGATGTGGTGACCAAATACACAGGCAAGCAAGCCGCTCATACACATAAAAGAAAACAATAAAACTAAAATAACTGGGAGAGGGGGAGAGGGAAGAGGAGGGAGGAAACAAAATAGTGCTTCTAGCCACACCCTGGCTGTCCAGATGTGCTGGCCACAATAGGAAACCTCTGTACTTGGCTGGACAGTGGACCCAGCTGGGAACCCCCATCTGTCCTGGGCTGAGGCTGGAGGAGTGGGATGGGAGATTTTAGCAGGAGGGGATGTCCACCCTGTGTGCTGGCGAGAAGAAGGGACACATAGCCTACCTCTGGGCTCAGAGGTGGCCAGCACACTGAACTAAGGGTGTGTCAGATAGTGTACAACAGGAAGGGGCAAGAAGGCAGAGAACCTGTAGATCATGGCTATGACCCTTTAATACCCTCATGTTGTGGTGACCCCTCCCCTGCTATATAAAATTATTTCACTGCTACTTCTTCTTCTTCTTCTTTTTTTTTTTTTTTTGGTTTTTCGAGACAGGGTTTCTCTGTGTAGCCCTGGCTGTCCTGGAACTCACTCTGTAGACCAGGCTGGCCTCGAACTCTCGAACTCAAAGATCCACCTGCCTCTGCCTCCCAAGTGCTGGGATTAAAGGTGTGCGCCACCACCGCCCAGCTTCACCGCTACTTCATAACTGTAATTTTGCTACTGTTATGAATCGTAATATAAACATCGGATACACAGGATATCTGATAGGTGACCCCTGTGAAAGGATTGTTCAAACCCCCAAAGGGGTCGTGACTCACAGGTTGAGAACCACTGCCCTAGACAGCTGGCCCTGGACCATGCAAGTTCCCGTCTTGTTCCCCTCATAGTCCAAGGAGCGCTTTCAGGATTCACGACAGAGACCAGAGGGTAGTGTAGCCTGAAAGATAGGGCCTCCGAGCAAATCAGGATGCTGTCCCGGAGGCAGATGGGAAAGGATACAGAGGTGGGCATGAGTAGAAATTGTGCCCCCAGCAAGGTGAGAGTTTACAGCTGCAAGTGGCCTGGGAGATGACAAGCTTTTAGAGTAAAGTGTGGTCAGGTCTGTGCCAGGGGTCGCCAATATGAGTGCTAACAGTTGAACAGAAGCCAGTGGTACGACCAGTTAGCATAGCACTGGGCTATGTGTTATGCTGAGAGGAGAGCTCAGGCAGCACACACCACTGATTCAGTGAGCAGCATTGCTCTGTGTTCTCACAGAGGTGGCCGCCAGAAAACCACGCATGTGTGTGGCCGGTCCTGGCCTTGGTCTCTGCTGGATTCTCCTACCTCCTATCTCAGGGTCCCCCTGAGAGTTCCCCGTGTGCTGAGATTGTTCTCCACTTAGTGGTATGTGTTGGGGGGATCAGGCAGGAAAAGAGAGGGTGCAGTATCAGTATTGAGAGTAGGTAAGGGGGTTCCGCACGGGGACCCGGGGCGGGGGGGGGGGGGATGAAGGGAGAGCTTCATTGTGAAGGGTGAGTCACTTCAGAGCTAGTGTGTGTGTGTATTTGTGTGTGTGTGTGTGTATGTAGCAAGATAAGCAGAAGAGAATGTTCTAAAGGTATTGAATGGGGAGCAGGGTCCTCCCATTGTCCATCACCGGACTCTAAGTTATCATCATAGCACCTTTGGAAGTGACTATGGGGGCTGCTAACATCCGCACCATTCCTCCCACAGATACTGAGAAGGAAGTGTCGGGTGATGCCAAAATGGGCATGTGCTCCCTGAGAGACAACACCTCTTCCTTGTCCTCAGAGGAGGCTGCTGCTCACCGTCCTCTCCCGCTGTCTCTGGCAGGTATGTGTTTACTATAGAGACATTAACTCCAGCCCCCGCTGTAAACCCAGCACCTAACAAACATGACTCCTGCTGTCCAGAGCACCGAGGTTCCTCACTGAAGTGGTGGAGTGGACACAGGCCTGAGTCTCTTGGTCCCTGTTCACACCTTGTCAAGGTCTTAAGAGCACAAAGGGTACTCATGGAGTCTCTGAGTCCACCAGCTCCAGAATACACACATTAGGTACCCAGGATGGGTACTCAAGATGCTAGAGGCACTTCAGGTACCTTTGGGTGATCAGATACTGATCCTGTAGTGGCTTAGCCAGCCCTTTGCTTAGTAGGATTACTATCCTAACGTGATGCCTGTAGCCTGGGGTATTCTCCCCAGTTAGGGGCTTCTCCTCAGATGGGGATTTCTCTGCCAAAGGCAATGGATAAAGAAGAACTAAAAACTTCAGCGTAAGACCAAAGTCTGCCCTGAACCCGACCCAGAGCACCCACCGTTGGCTGAGCACCGACTGTTACAGGCAGGCGTCCCCCAGCCTCTGACGGGAGAGCAACAGAAAGACTCCTGTAGAATTTTGGACTTTCCACCACACGTGGGGGTTTCCATGATAGTTCACACCTGCAGGTGGTCTGTAGCTGCTATACTTAGGAGGAGGTGGCCTGGGTGACCCACACCTGCACAGGAGCCCAGAGTAGGGCTATGCTTCATGTCTTCAGAGGCCCCAGCGTGTGGGCTATGTCCATGATCCTCAAATATCCTTACCCTCAGAGAGGTTGACCACAGCATGGGGGCTAGCCTAGGGCAGCTACTCCACCTTACAGAGGCACAGAGAACAAACAATGTGGTAGCCTAGGTTAGGGCTGAAAGGAGCTCTGAGAGTTCTGGGCAGGGAAAAATGGAAAGCACCAAACCATCCTGAGCCGAGGTGGAGTGGAGTCAGACACTGGTGTTGTGTCTCGGGGTAGAGACCTGCTGGGGGGCTGCCACAGGCCTGGCAGATCTGTACGCCAAGCCTGTGCTTTGGAAGCCAACAATGCCCGCGTGTTAACTTTAGGTCAGAACTGGCAACATAATAAAAAATATTTCCAATACCAGCAAAAATGATCAAACAGCCAGAAAATTCTCACAACCAGGAAGTTCTTTGTTCATTTTTTTTGTTGTTGCTGTTATTTGATTTTTTTTGGGGGGGATTGGAGGTTGGGGTCTTATAGAGCCCAGGCTGGCCTGGAAATCGCTACGTAGCCAAGGATGGCCTTAAACTTCTGATCCTCCTGCCTTGACTTCTGGAGTGATAGGAGAGCAGGCATGTGCCACCACACCCAATGTGTACAGTGCTGGGACTGAACCCAGGGCCAGCGGCCTGACAGACATCTCTAGCTGAGCTGTAGCTAAAGTCCTGTTTCCAATGGAATCCCACAGTGTAGTCCAGTCTGGTCTTGACTCCTGTGCCCCAACCATGGGCCTGTTTCTGCTTCCTAAGTAGTTGGACCACAGAGTCTGGCCAGAACTCACATTTTCACAGAAGAAATGGAAGGGCATAGCACTGCCTGGATTTAGCATCTTAAAGGCCCAGCGGTTTCTTAACTTAGACTATAAAAGAGTTACAGCTAAACTATCATTGAACACTAGTCCTCGGCGAGAGCAGTAAGTGTTCTTACTTAACTGCTGAGCCATCTCTCCAGCCTCAACACAGAAAAGGAGTGTGTGTGTGTGTGTGTGTGCTCACGTGTGTGTTTGGAGGTCAGAGGACAGCATGAGGAAGTTGGTTCTTTCTTTCGCCCGTGTGGCTGGGGGAGGGGCGTCAGGCACCTTTCCCCACCGAGAGCCATCTTGTTGGGGTTTTTGGTTGTTGTTGTTTTTCTGTTTTTTTTTTTTGGTTTTTTGAGACAGGGTTTCTCTGTGTAGCCCTGGCTGTCCTGGAACTCACTCTGTAGACCAGGCATAGCCTGGAACTCAGAAATCCACCTGCCTCTGCCTCCCAAGTGCTGGGACTAAAGGCGTGCGCCACCACTGCCAGGCGGTTGTTTTTTCCCTTCTTCACAACTTGACTAATAAGTACACCATGCCAGGCAAGTGCACAAGTACACATATATACTCAAATAAATATAATAATTTAAAAAACCCAACAGGTCTCTCTTAATAAAACTGCAAAACCACCATTAAAAGGCATTAGTGATATCGGGTGTGTTGTCTTAGACCTGTAATCCCACAGCTCAGTAGGCAGAGGCAGGATTGCCAGGAGTCTAAGGTCAGCCTAGGCTATGTAGGACAGCCTGGGCTACAGAGCAAGGTCCAATCTTAAACAAACAAACAAGGCTGGGTGTGGTAGCACATGCCTTTAATTCCAACCCTTGGGAAGCACAGGCGGCTGGATCTCTGTGAATTCCAGGCCACCCAGCCTGCTGAATACAATGAGACTTGTCTCAAAAAAAAAAAAAGGCATTAAAATATTCCTAACATTTACATGAGAATGATAGTATCTTTAACAAAAAGAACCTTCAAATCAGTAAGAAACAGACTACAGACTACGAAGAGGGCCGCCAACCTCTCGCAGGCTGGGCATTTAAAAAAAAAAAAATCAAATGATTCCCGGAAATTGTGGTGCACGCCCTTAATCCCAGCACTCCGGAGGCAGAGGCAGACTGATCTCTGAGGGGCCAGTCTGGACTACAGATTGAGTTCCTTGGCTATACAAAGAAACCTTGTCTCTGAAGTGGGGGGTTAGGTGAGGGGAGAGGGGAAGGAAGCAACCCAAATGTTAACAATAAACCAAAGTCTGGCGACAAAACTCGGTGGCAGCCTGCTGTCCCAGGGCCACACCCTTCGGTCAGGTGGTTCCTAACCTGGGATCTCAGCACCATCTAGGTGGGAGAGGGAAACTCAAAGTCATTTTTGATTACCTAGTGAATTCCAGATCAGCCTGGGATAAGTGAAACCTTAACCAAAGCGGGAAGGAAAAAAAAAAAGAGAGAGAGATAAGAAGAGAAAAAGTAGAAGACCAGGAAAAACCGGTGCAGAGGGATTTTTAACTGGTTACAGCCCTCAGCTGCAGGCAGAGGTGTAAATGGCGGAAGTGTGTAGCTTCTACCAAATATCAAAACAGATGGTTTCTCCAGTTTCATACACAGTGGTCTTCGGTGTGCAGTGAGATGTAAGAGTCCTCTAGCAAACCGGGTAAACGCCATGTCTCAGGTCCCCTATTCCTTTAACACTGAAATTCGAACAAGGGACCTGGCTCTCTCCCGCAACCTGCCCAGCCTCTCTTTAGTTCTTCACCTCACAGGACTTGGCCGCTGTGGCGCTGGGCCGGATCACTGGGCTGAGGTGAGCGGCCAGGTGTTTCTACTGTCCAGTGACTTCCATGCTGACCCTTGTGTCAGTCAGCGGCCCTGCCAGTCGAAGCCTGGAATCAGAGGAGCTATGTCCCAGTGTTTCCCACATCTTGACCCGCCATTAAAACTGCTGGTGGATTAGACCAGCCACTGTGGTATCCTGGAAGGGATGATTGACCATGAAAAAGTTTGCTTTTTAGACCAGGTAGGAAGGATTATTGATTTACTTTCCAATTATTGAAGTACTTTCCAAGAGGTTGGCAGGTCTTCCTTCCAGTGACCCACAGGCACAACGACACCCTCGTGGTCCTAGACATTTTACTCTGCTCTCCATCTTGTCTCCACCCAAGGCTCTCTTCCTACCCCTCCCCCACCCTTTGTCATTTGCTCCCTTGTCCTACCCATCCCCCCTCTCACACACACAATCAGGAACCCTACCTCCCAGCTCCCTAACCTCAATGGGTGAGGCCCAGAGCCTCTCTTCTCCCACCCCTACCCCACTTCAGCTCTGAACCCTACAGAATCCATAACCCCTGCTCTGAATTCTCTCTCTCTCCCTCCTCCACCCTTTCCCGAACCCCTCTCCCACTCACAAGGCTTCCTAAGCTCCTTCAGCCCCGCCCCCAACCAACCACCCCACCCCCACTCACCCCACCCCCACACCTCCCCTCACGTGCTGGGCTCCTTAAGACCCGCCCCTGAGTGCCTGCCCCCACACCCTCAGCCCCGCCATCCCAGGCCCTCATAGGCTCCAGCCAGTATTACGTCTCATCCCTACCTACCTTAAGGTCCCTTTTAACCAGCCCTCTCTCTCCCTGCCCAAATTCCCTCCTCTCTCTCTCTCTCTCTCTCTCTCTCTCTCTCTCTCTCTCTCTCTCTCTCTCTCTCTCTTTTCGCGTTTTAGGATTCTGACGACCCTGCTGACACACCCGCCATCCCTTGGACATAGACCCTTCTAGCAGATTACTGTCAATGGGCTCCCGGGAGACACCTTCTTCTTGCTCGAAGGCCCTCGAAACCTTGAACCTGGAGACTTCGGACAGCTCTAGCCCTGACCCTGAGAGTCCTCTCGAAGAGCAATGGCTGGAATCCTGTGAGATCCTCAGGCCTTTTCCTTCCTTTCCCTCTCCTTTCTTCTTTGCCTCCCCTAACTCCACAGGGTCCTTTAGGGGTTCTGGATTGTCACTAAGAAAGCAGGAATATGGGTCCTGGACATTCAGCCAGGGGCAGAGGGAGGCAGGGCCACCTGAAAACATGTTGTCTAGGACTGAATGGATGAAGGGCACCCATAGGACACCCTCTCTCCTACCGGGTACCTCAAAGCCGATATTGTAGTCCCTAATCTCCAGTAGATGCGGAGATATCACCATGGCTTGGCTGGGTAGTTCCAGTGGCTCCCCTGACCCCTGTATTGACTACAGGTAGCTGTTTTCCTGCACATAACTTGTGTCCTTCTGAGGTCTCCCAGTAATGACTGCCTCTATCTCCAGCCCCAGACCCGGAGGAGGAGAACAGCATGAATGTGGGACCGGAAGATTCCAAGGAACCTCTGTCCCCTTCCTCACGTCCGACAGGCAGAGGTAAGGCCCTACCCAAGTAATGAATTTATCTCTTAGATGTGGCCCTTAGATTCAGGAAATGCATGGAATGTTCCTGTATCATTCAGGATGACACCCCACCCCCACCCCACAAGGGCAGGTACTCGGTGGGCTTCAAGTGGAAGAGTCCCAGTCACCTCAGAGGACGAGTTTGTTGTGCTTGTTCCAACGAGGAGCCCAGAGAGAGAAGAAGGGGTTTCTTTCTTATTTTTTTCTCTTGCAGAGGTCATCAGGTACGAAGTCAATGTGAACCAACGGAACATCGAAGGTAAGTTTGCACACTAACCTGTGACCCAGAAAAACAGTTGTCGCCCCCGCAAAAAAGACTTTCTTCAGCGTTCTTCAGCCATCCCAGAAAGTGGGGAACAATTCTAGTACCCATGAGATGTCCTCACCCCACTCCACCTCACCCCCACCCCCCACCCCCGCGCCACACTTGCGTATGACGTGTAGTTGAATTTTTTTTTTTTTTTTTTGTATATCTGGGCTGGACATCATGGCTCACACATGAATCCTCGAACTCAGGAGGCAGAGGCAGGAGGATCTCTGAGATTGAAGCCAGCCTGCTCTATAGAGCTAGTTCCAGGACAGCCAGGACTACACACACACACACACACACACACAAAACTTGTCTCCAACCCCCCCCATACTCCCCAAATTGTGTTTATATCAGCCACACTACCTTCTAATTTGAGACTAGGCTAAGTGTTCACTTATCTTGCCGGAAGCCCTGGGTTCTATTCCCAGTATCCTATAAACTGGGTGTGGTGACACACCCTGCAATCTCCGAATTCTGGAGGTAGAGGTGGAAGAACCAGACCACCCTAAGTGAAGCTGAAGTCAGCTTGAGATATGCTCGACTTTGTCAGAAAGAGAAAAGAGGAAAATAAATAAATATTTTTAATGGGCACTCCGCAGCTCCCTGGCCAATGATCTATTTCTCTGGATTGGCTGATTTGGGCGTCCTTGGGTTTCCATGGGTATTTTAACCTCACCATGCCAAGTCTGCAAAAAGCCATCTGGGATTTGGAGGTGGTCTACACACTTCATTTGGGGCATCTTGCTTTCTTTCCCGTTAAGTCTTCCGGTCTATGACCCTGCCCCATCCGTGCTGGGTCTTCCCACATCTCCCTCAGGATTTCCTGGTTGCTTTTGCTAAGCCTCCTCCCTGCTTTTTCCCCCCTCTGCGTTCTCTCTAGATATTTGCCTCTGCTGTGGGACTCTCGAGGTGTATGCTCAGCACCCCTTGTTTGAGGGGGGGATATGTGTCTCATGTAAGGTAAGCGGGGAGGTCATGGGACTGTCTGCACGTGGAACTGTGGAGGGAGACCACACACACAGCCTTTGCTTGCTCCCTGCTCAGGACAAGTTCCTGGAGAGCCTCTTCCTGTATGATGAGGATGGCCACCAGAGCTACTGCACCATCTGCTGCTCGGGGGGTACCCTGTTCATCTGTGAGAGCCCTGACTGTACCAGGTGAGGCAGGGCCCAACTTCCTATTGTTCCTAGTCCCCCAAAACATGGAAGGCGGGTGGTGAAGGATACATATCTGGGATGTGCTCTTCATGAACACAACAGCCATTTTCTCTGTCTTTACACAATATGGCGGGTCCAGGGCACAGGCAGCTCATTTACCCTCGGTTAAGTCACCATCCTGAGCTCCATACATGCTGGTCCCCCGCCCTGTCCTTTTGGACATCTTCCTCTTTATAGTCCTGACTTCTAAGCATCCCCTTCCCAGGCAGCTACTCCTTCCCGGCCAGCTGCTCCTTCCCTGCCAGCTGCTCCTGTACATCTTTTTTCTCAGAGCCCTTAAAATGCACACAGACTTCCAAGTTGTGGAAAAACTAAAGGGTTTTGAAGTCCACCATTGCTAGCACAACCACCTCACGTATTCTGTTGCCGAGTCCCTTTCCCAGCCTGCAGCCAGCCCCACCCACCCGGCACTAAGAGCAAAGCAAGAGAGAGAGAAACAGATCCTTCTTTCCCCAACAAGGTGCTGGCCTGGCTTGCGGTCCCCTGATGGCAGCATGACTTGGGTCACGGTGGTTTTTCGGTTCTACTCTAGATGCTACTGCTTTGAGTGTGTGGACATCCTGGTGGGCCCCGGGACCTCAGAGCGGATCAATGCCATGGCCTGCTGGGTTTGCTTCCTGTGCCTGCCTTTCTCTCAGAGCGGACTGCTGCAGAGGCGCAAGAAGTGGCGTCAGCAGCTGAAGGCCTTCCATGATCGAGAGGGGGTAAGGACAACCGGTGTGGGGGAGGGGCTGCAGGCTGCATGCTAACAAGTGTGCACATCACTGGACGAGGCTTTGCCTTAATGCCCCTTGATATTTTCCTATTGGAGAGCAGGTGTCACTGGTTTTTAGTGATAGGAGCTCAGGTAGCCCAGGCTGGCCACAAACTCACTATGTAGCCCAGGATGGCCTTGAGTTCCTGATTCTCTGCTTCTACCAAGTGCTAAGACTACAGGCACCATATTTATAAGGACTGAACCCAAAGTCCTGGGTTTAACACAAGCTTTTTTTTTCTTGTCAGTTTTTCGAGACAGAGTTTCTTTGTATAGCCCTGACTGTCCTGGAACTAGCTCTGTAGACTAGGTTGGCTTTGAACTCACAGAGATCTGCCTGCCTCTGCCTCACGAGTGCTGGGAATAAAAGCCTGTGCTACTGCTGTCCTGGCTCCACAAATTTTTGACCAACTGAGTTACACCCTTAGTCATTAATCTTTCTTAAAAGCCTAGGGATGGGCTGGAGAGATGGCTCAGTGGTTAAGAGCACTGACTGCTCTTCCAGAGGTTCTGAGTTCAATTCCCAGCAACCACATGGTGGCTCACAACCATCTGTAGTGGTCATCTGATGCTGTCTTCTGCTGTGTCTAAAGACAGTGACAGTATAACCACATATATGTAATAAATCTTAAAAGAAAAAGCCTAGGGGTGGTTACTGGTCACAAGTAGGACAGGAGCTCCCTTTCCACAGACACCTAAGTTCATCACACTGACTTGAATGTTTAACCAACACAACATTCCCTTGTGTAGCCTTGGCTGCAGTCCCCTGGGTGAAACCCAGAGGTGGCAAACCACTCAAAGGTACAGAAGACTTAACCTCCTGAGGGAAGAACTGAAGTCTTTCCTTCCCTAGATGACAGCCAAGGTCATAAGCCAGGAACCTGCAAACACAACCTGATTTGGAAGTGGAGTCTCTGAGGTGTCACCTTAGCTGAGTTTGAGATGAGAGAGCATTTGGATTGACATAGATACTGCATGAAATGGAGGGTGCCCTTGTAAGAGATAGAGTTTTGGGGGTGAGGGGAGATTGAGATACACAGGAAAAGACCATGTAGTCTTAGATGCTTTGGTTCCATAATGTCAGTGGCAGCCACTGTGTGCTGAGCCCAGCTGCTGAGAGAAGCCTGGGATGGTTCCCTGAAGTCTCAAAGGCTACCAGCCTTGGTGTTCCCTGGATTCCAGACTCTGTGGGCTATGGGTGTGGTTTTGCTCTCCTGGAGTCCTAGGAGACCTTATATAGTTGTCTTCTGAGGGGAATCCTTTATCTTCTAACTTCAGACAAACCCTGCCTCCCTTTGTAGATCTGTGGGGGTCCAGGCAAGATACCTAGACTTGGGGAGTGGGTAGATTCGGCTTCAAGAGAGGGATGGACAGCACTGGTCACAACAGGGCCAGCCAGGCCTTGGCAAACGAGTCCCAGATGGCTCTCAGTTGAGTCCTTAGCATCTAGGGGTCACTTAACTCTTGACACCGCTCAATGGGCAACCAGCACGCATCCTCTTGTCTTTCTCTCTTTTCCTTTTTCCTCTGCTTCTTTTCCAGGCAAGCCCTATGGAGATATACAAGACAGTGTCTGCATGGAAGAGACAGCCAGTGAGGGTGCTGAGCCTTTTTGGGAATATTGATAAAGGTAAGTACAGTCATCAAAAAAATGACTCTCCAGAAGAGGGGATAGGAGGGCCCCAGAGTGTTCTGGTGTCTTCTGCCTGGCCGTTAGGATAACGCTGCACATCTGAGACTTGACGCAGGGATTGATGGTAGAAAACCTCTTCCTCAGACTCCTTGAGCTGAGAGAACTGAGTATCCCAGGAAAGCATGTGACTGCCAGAAAAAAAAAAAAAATCTGACTGTGTGCCCAAGCAAGCGGAAAGGTTAAAAGGGTTGGAGAACCTGGATCCACATAGGGACCTGGCTCCCCAAGAGGAGGAGGCAGGGATAGGGAGGGGCAAGCCTGCAAGGGTCCATGGGAATGGCTACTGGTGAGGAAGTAGCCTCTCATACTCACGTTCTCCCAGCCCCCCACCTTCCTGAACCTCCCAACCTGGCCACTTCTTCTCCTGGGATTCTGTCCCTCAGACTGTTCTGATCCCCGCTGTGCCCAGCAAGCACAGAGACCCTGAAGGTGCTTTGGTCTCTGGCTAAATCATATTGCACTTAAGATAGTATCGGAGTGTTCAATGATGATCCGACAATGTGTTTGTTACAAGTGCCCTATGTAATAGCTATAATTGTATCAGTATGCTTTAAGGGACACCTGGCTAGGGCTTGACTTGATCACGCTCTCATTCTCGGAGTCTGAGGGTAACCCACGCACTCTGTGGGTCCCCAGCCTGGCTGATTTGTCTAAGCAAGCCGGCGAGAGCATGGCTCCGAAGTGCCGGAGTTTTGCAACAAATTACTTCACTTTCATCAAGTAACGCTCAGGAAGTTTGCCGCTTGGTGTCTGCTGCTGAAATGATCAAGCTGTTAGTCCACGGCTGGGAGATTGCACTGTCCTAGATCCCCACTCTGGGGACAGAGCCCACATCTGCTGTATCCATCTTGTCTCTTCCCCCCTCCCTTCCCCCACAGAACTAAAGAGTTTGGGCTTTTTGGAAATCGGTTCTGATTCTGAGGGAGGAACACTGAAGTACGTGGAAGATGTCACGAATGTCGTGAGGAGAGACGTGAGTTGAGGCGGGAGGTGGGTGGGCTACTGGGCCCTCTGTAGTAGCTAGCCTAGCGGAAGGGACAAAAAACCTTGGGGGATAGGGTAGGGTATGCAGGGTGCTGCATATTGTTAGAGGTCTCCAGACCAGCATGGGGTCCTGGTTGGAGCCAGCCCGGATACAATCACACACACCCCCCCATTCTACTCCCTATCTTCCCCCACTCACTACCCCCTCCCCCCACCAACACCTCACAGTGGGAGGTGGGAACAGAATGCTTCTCTGGCCTTTGCATAGCCCTCAGCCTTGATCAGGGCAAGCAGCCAAACATCTTGAAATCCACGTGGCTGGTTTCTGCTGCCTATGACTGGGCGGAGGGGGCTCAACCCCACCCTACTCGCTCACAGTTGCAAGTCTTGAGCTGAGTGGCAGGCAGTTGTCTGGAAACATCTTCCAAACACCAATTTGGTGCTGTCTTGACCCTGTGGTGGGACCTCCTCTCCTCCCCCTGTGGGCTTGCAGGCAGGGTACCAGTGCATTAGGGTCTAGTTATACAGCCATTTGGAGTATGGGTCTTTAACCCAGAATTCTACCCACTTCTTCTGGCTAGACCCCAGCCAGTCATTGCCCTGTTAGGATCCTAGGTGCACATCAGATATCAGGTAAAGAAGTTGGGGCCCAGAGGAAGAACTCAAGAGCCATCTGGGTGGCAGCCCATTACTCTGAGAGAAATGGGAGGGTCCGAGAAAGTGGGAGCCTAGTCTAGATTGGGGACCCACTTATGGACATTTCAGGAACTTTTTCTTTTCTTTTTGTTTGTTTGTTTGTTTGTTTTTGTTTTTCAAGACAGGGTTTCTCTGTAGAGCCCTGGCTGTCCTGGAACTCACGCTGTAAACCAGGCTGGCCTCGAACTCAGAAATCCGCCTGCCTCTGCCTCCCAAATGCTAGGATTAAAGGCGTGCGCCACTACCGCCCGGCTCAGGAACTTTTTCTTAAGAGAATGTCCAGGGCTAGCCAAGTAGTGGTGGTGCACGCCTTTGATGCATCCCAGCATTCAGAAGGCAGAGGCAGGCGGATCTGTGAGTTCTGGGCCAGCCTGATCTATAGAGCAAGCCAGGGTTACACAGATAGACCCTGTCTTGAACCTAGAGGGGGAGATGGTTGAGGGAGAAGGAAGGTCCAGGATTAGAGGAGCCATTATTGACGCAGGGAATCTCTGGGCTCTGGACCTTGGACTGCTTGTACAAACAGAAGGCTCTTGCTTGTCTGTCCTTGAGGCTAGTTCTTTCTTTCATCCTCTTACTTGACCAGGAAGTGACCCCGTCTGCTAACTAAGTGGGGATTGTTTATGGCCACCACACAGTGTCCACCCTGCTGTCTGCTCCCAGCTGCTGGGATCTCTGCATAGCCAGTGATTTCCCAGAAGGCTATGGGAATCCTTTAGGCTAAATGAGTTTATGTGCTCCCTCCAAGACTGGGCTTTTTTAAAGAGCAACAGTTATCCGAGAAAGAATCTGAGATATGGAATGCTCTCAGGCTACCTCTGTATGGGCTTGTCCTGAGAGTCAGTCCTGTGTAGGTGTCGCTGCCTATGTGGGCCCCAAGGCTCAACTAGGAGGTCTGTCTGGGTCATTCATCCACAAGGTATATCACTGGGGGGATGATTGGGTATAGAGGCCTTGATGCTGGTCACCAGTTGGGGAGTACTTGGCTTTCAACTAACTCTGTGTGTTCCCTAGGTGGAGAAATGGGGCCCCTTTGACCTGGTGTATGGCTCGACGAATCCCCTAGGCAACTCTTGTGACCGCTGTCCTGGTAAGTTTCAAGAAATGGGACTTTTTTTTTTTTTCATCTCTGGTCGCTTGAGAATCTTGTCTTCAACTCTTTCACCTCTACTCTGTCCTCTCTCCTGCCTCCCCACCCCCTCATGCCATCTTCAGCCTTCAGACAGGGCAGAAATCACTCTGCATTTTAAAACTAGCTTCCCTAGGCCCTTCCTTCCTCCTTCCTTCCTTTCTTTTTTCCTTCCTTCCTTCCTTTTTCTTTTTTTTAAAAAAAGGTTTATTTATTTTATTTATATGAATACACGGTGGCTAACTTCAGACACACCAGAAGAGGGCATCAGGTCCCATTACAAATGGTTGAGAGCCACCATGTGGTTGCTGGGAATTGAACTCAGGACCTCTGGAAGAGCAGCCAGTGCTCTTAACCCCTGAGCCATCTCTCCAGCCCCTTCCCTGGGCTCTTAACTGCCAGATGAACTTGCACATACTCAGTGTGCTGTTGGATGAGTTCTAGACTAAGGTGGATATTGGCTTTTCCATCTCCATAAAGGGAGAGCAGAGGTACCCAGTATTCACAGAGGTTGTCCTGGCCCTCCCCATATGAATCCATCTTCCCCCTGGTTCATTGGCAGGCTGGTACATGTTCCAATTCCACCGGATCCTGCAGTATGCGCGGCCTCGCCAAGACAGTCAGAAGCCCTTCTTCTGGATATTTATGGACAATCTGCTGCTGACTGAGGATGATCAAGTGACAACTGTCCGCTTCCTTCAGGTGAGGTGCACCTGGGGTAGGGGCTTAGCCTGTATCCGTGTCTGAAGACTCTCACTCCCGAGGTCTCTGCTGCGCTGATGTGCACAGGACTACAAGGACGTTGGGCACTGAGATACAGATTGCAGAGTTTCAGGAAAGACACTGGTCCTTACAGGGACACACAGCCTTGCAGGACAACCTCCCTCTCGGACACCACTCAGGGTACAATGTACAGTGTACAAGTCACAACCGTCTCAGACTGATGTCCCTTCCTCTTCACCTCTCAGCCTGCACACATGAGCATGTCTGCACACACACACACACACACACACACACACACACACACACACACGACCCACACAACACGCATGCGCACTCCATGCGCTCACAGGTACGTGAGCACTCACACTGAACAGTCTTCTCCTTCACTTGAACAATGACTCAGTGCTGCCACCTGGTCTCAGGGGTCAGTTCCCGCCAGTGCTGACTTAGCCCTAAGTCAGCGCTAGCTGCGGAGGGTGAGGTGTGACCAGTGAGGTATGACCGACTGTCTTGGATATAGAAGGTGAGAGATAGCGAGGCTCTGGAGGAACTCTGTCATGCCCTCAGCTCTGAGAACCAAGGTTGGGGACTTTGACCCACTATGGTTGTAGAGAAAGTGGGGACCCATTGGACCCCTGAGAATATACCTGTGTACCTCATAGGAAAAAAAAAAAGTCAATCAGGAATGAAAAAAGCCTCTGCCTATCAGCTCCTGTCTTCAGACACACCAGCAGAGGGCATCAGATCTCATTACAGATGGTTGTGAGCCACCATGTGGTTGCTGGGAATTGAACTCAAGACCTCTGGAAGAGCAGTCAGTGCTCTTAACTGCTGAGCCATCTCTCCAGCCCCTTATTGTTTTTTCAAGACAGGGTTTCTCTGGCGGGGAGCCCTGGTGACCCTGGAACTCATTCTGTAGACCAGGCTGGCCTCAAACTTAAGAGATCTACCTGCCTCTGCCTCCTGAATGCTCAGATTAAAGGCGTGTGCTGCCATTGGTCAGCGATTTTTCTGACTTTTCAGAGTTTTGGAAGTTACATTATCCTAGAACATAACCCATTTCAATGAAGTTTGAAAAAAAGTAATTTTATAGAGTTGATCAAAGTGATGCCCAGATTTTATTTCTTTGTAGTTATTTAAGGAAAAATGAAGACCGTGGAAGCATGGCCAGCTTAGATGACCTGTTGACTATGTGTGCCCCATGAGTGGAGATTGATTGCTTTTGTGTCATGCTGACCCACAGCCCCTTCTTCTCCCACAGACAGAGGCTGTGACCCTCCAGGATGTCCGTGGCAGAGTCCTCCAGAATGCTGTGAGGGTATGGAGCAACATTCCAGGACTGAAGAGGTATCTCCTCAGGGCAGGGGGGTATGGAACATTCAGAGGACACTGCTTTCTGGTAGAGCCAGGTGTGCACAGACCCATGTTCCACCTGACTGTGTCTGAGAAACCCCTTGTCTACCACAACTCTGGACACAGTAGTGGTCAGGTGGTCTCTGTGGACCTAGGGACACTCATCAGGATCACCCACTACCTCCTGATCGTGCCTCAGGACTGGCTAAGAGTTCCCTTGTTCTCAGGAGAAAGTCCAGACTCCTAGCCATGGGCCTAAGGGTTCTTTCTCAAACTGTTGCAGGCCAGTTATCCATCCCCCCAGCCTTCTGAAGCCCCCGCCCTGTGCATACTAAGACTCATAACCATTCATATGGTGACTCAACTCTCTAACACATTCACACACCCGCACACAGACACCCACTTGCTTACAGACATGCACAAGTGGATTGAGCCAGTTTTTGAACTCCTTCTTCTGAAACTGCTAAGTCGTGTCCTTTCCTGCCCTACACTTGAGTTTCTGGAAACTTCCCACCCACCTCTACCATCCTCCTGGCTCCTAGCCACTCTTGCCAGTCAGATACCACCAGGTTCCCTCACCTGGATGCTTCCAGGACTTGCTTGGGCTGAGGTGGTGTGGATGGGCTATGACTTTTTCCAAGCGTTCTTTTTGGAAGCTTCTGGGGTATAGTCTCCTGTCTGCAGCCCCTCCCGATAGATACTCTGGGACAGGGCAGAGCAGGAGTGGGATAGTGTGTGAGCTCAGCCACCTATCAAAGAAGCCAGGTTCCACTCCTGCCAACCGTGGGCCTGTCAGGTGTGGCTCACACAGGCCATCCGTAACAAACCTGCTTTAGAGGTAATCATCTCGGTCCAGCCAATCCTAGGACATGTGGCTGTTCCTCTCTTCCGCTGAGCTGCTCCCCATGGCAACCTGCCAGGGTTGGAGCTTGTAGGGACAACTTCTTTTCTTTTGTTCATTCTTTCGTTGCTGTTGTGGTTTGGTTTGTTTTTGTTTTTGTTTTTCCAAAGCAGGGTTTTTCTGTGTATCCCTGGCTGTCCTGGAACTTGTTCTGTCCAACTCAGAGATACACCCACTTCTGTCTTTTCAAGTGTTGGGGTTAAAGGCATGCAATATCACCCCTCACTCCACTCACCCCAACATTTTTCTGATTGAGATATCTGACACCATTGCTATCTTCAGACAGACTAGAAGAGGGCATCAGATCCCATTCCAGACGGTTGTGAGCCACTATGTGGTTGCTGGGAATTGAACTCAGGACCTCTGGAAGGGCAGTCAGTGCTCTTAACCACTGAGCCATCTCTCCAGCCCCGTTACCTGCCTCCGCCAAAGGAAGTTGAGGGTCATGTGCACCTGCACCTGGTCACTTGGGTCTTGAAGGAAACCGAAGGCTGTTTACTTTCAGGGTGACTTCATAGTGAGCTGAAGGACACTTGCCCTCTGAAGTAGGAATCTTCTTGCCATGGTCATGGACACTCATGCAATATCTGTCCCAGACAACCACTGTCCTGGGGTGAGGGGTGCACATGAAGGCAGGGTGGGGTGTAGGGAAACTGGATGACAGTGTATTCTGACATGCCTTTTTGTCTGCCCCAAAAGAGATGGTCCTTAACTCCACCAGGGGCTGGGCATACAGAAAGGGGATGCTAGGTATCACATCTACAAAGCTGGGGGACTCCAGGATGATTAAAAATTTTAAGAGCTGGAGCACTTGGTGTAAGCTGAGTTTATTGTGTCAGGCCTCCTGGGAACAGTACTCAAACTTGCAGGGTCTCACTGATTTGTTTTCCCATAATATTTTTTTTGTTTGTTTGTTTGTTTTTGAGACAGGGTTTCTCTGTGTAGCCCTGGTTGTCCTGGAACTCACTCTGTAGACCAGGCTGGCCTTGAACTCAGAAATCCGCCTGCCTCTGCCTCCCAAGTGCTGGGATTAAAGGCGTGCGCCACCACCACCCAGCTCCATAATTTTTTAAAATTCACATTACATCCCCATCGAAGCCCCCCCCCGTCCTCTTTTGCAAATTCTTCCCCCTATTAACTCCTTCCCTTCTCTCAGAGAAGGGGCAAGCCCTGCTTGGGTACCACCCCACCTTAGAACATCTAGTCCCAACAGGGTACATCTTCTTCCACTGAGGCCTAACCGGGCAGTCCAGGTAGGGGAAAGGGGATCCGATGGCAGGCAACAGAGTCAGAGATAGCCCCTACTCCAATTGTTAAGGGACCTATATAAAGACCACGCTGCACATCTGCTACAAAGGGGAGGGGCAAGGTCCAGCCTCTGGATGTTCTTTGGTGTTTCAGTCTCTGTGAGGGCCCATGGGTCCAGGTTAGTTGACTCTGTAGGTCTCCTTGTGATGCCTTTGACCCTTCTAGCTTGCTCAAGTCTACCCTTCTTTTCCACAAGACTCCCTGAGCTCTGCCTTACGTTTGGCTGTGGGTCTCTGCATCTGTTTCCATCCACTGCTGGATGAAGTCTCTTGGGAGACGGTTAATGCTAGGTTCCGAGTCTGCAAGCATAACAGAGTATCATTAATAGTGTCAGGCATTGGCTCTCTCCCATGGCATGGGTCTCAAGTTGTAGCAGTCGTTGGTTGGCCATTCCCTCAGTCTCTGCTCACTCTTTATCCCTGTGCATCTTGTAAGCAGGACAAGTTTTGGGGTTGAAGGTTTTGTGGGTGGGTTGATGCCCTCCCATCCTTCCACTGGTAGTCCTGCCTGGCTAGCTCACTGTTCTGCACCCTTACTTAACTCTGTGTGGGTCACTGCCTGGGATGGCTCACATCCCTTCCTGGCAGCTTCTAGGCTCTCTCTTCACACCAAAAAAGGGAACATGTTGGGCTGGATCAAAGATCACATGTCTCACTTGGGATGTGGTAGCACACATGTGTTTGCTTTTTTTTTTTTTTGAGACAGGGTTTCTCTGTGCATTTGCTTTTAATCCCAGCAGAAGCAGGTGGATCTCTCAGAGGTTTTAGGCCAGCCAGAGCCACAGTGAAACAGTCTCTTGAGAGAGACAGGAGATGGTGGGGAGCAATGGTTTGGTCTTTGGGAGCCCTGCCTGTTCCCAATCCATCCAGAGGCAGGGCCATTTCTTCCTTTGCTTCAAGATGTGGAGACCCTGGCAGGTCCTCCTGAGGGTCCCTAGAGACCACAGGCAACGCCTTCACCTTGTGGGGACCTCAAGGCTCTGTGTCCCCCCCACAACCATCACACATCACACACACAGACACACAGACACACACACACACAGAGACACACAGACACACACACACACACACACACACACACACACACACACACACACTCACACACATATCTCCAAGCGCCCCATCCAATGCTGCATTTCTGTTTTGTTTTTTCGAGACAGGGTTTCTCTGTATAGCCCTGGCTGTCCTGGAACTCACTCTGTAGACCAGGGTGGCCTCAAACTCAGAACTCCACCTGCCTCTGCCTCCCAAGTGCTGGGATTAAAGGCATGCGCCACCACCGCCCGGCCCAATGCTGCATTTCTAACAAGCGACTCTTTCCTTGATAGCAAGCACTCAGTCCTGACGCCAAAGGAAGAACAGTCTCTGCAAGCCCAAGTCAGAACCAGAAGCAAGCTGCCCACCCAGGTTAACCCCCTGGTGAAGACCTGCCTTCTCCCCCTGAGAGAGTACTTCAAGTGTTTTTCTCAGAATTCACTTCCTCTTTAGAAATGAATCACTGAACAATGAAAGTCTTTCCTAGAACCATGGCAGTTTTCTTCCTATGGTCTGTTCCTTCTGCAGGGTTTTCTCCTATTTGCTTGCTGGCCTTTGGGTTTCTCTCCCGTTTGATTCCCAAGATGCAGATGCCCCCCGTGCAGCTCACTGTGGGGGTGGGAGGCGCCCACGGCTCTGGACAAGATCCCGATGGGATAACCTGCCATGCTTCTCCAAAACTGTGTGTACCTGTTGTGACTTTTTTTCAAATATATCATAGGATTGTTTCTGGTCGTGTCTGGTGTGGTGTGTAAGACTGAGGCCTTTCTTCTGTGTGTCATAGTAGTTGTGACATTTCCACAGACACTGAATGCCTGCTGTCCTGCCATGGGCACATATAGACTTCAATACATGCTATTTGCTTTGATGATTGAAACCACTTCCTCTCCCTGTTGCTACACAAAACACCCCAAACCATGGCCAAAGTGTGTACCTAGGGAGCAGACCATGTGCCTGCTGGGTTGTCCTAACACAATGGTAGCTTGCAGAAGTGGGTTCCCAACAGCCTTTGGCAGTTGCTATACCAATGAAGCTAAATCCATTGGAAAGTGTAGACTGTTCAGCTTTGAGGTGTATATAGTGAGTCCTGATTAACCATAACCTCCCTACCACCCAACACACACACACACACACACACACACACACACAAACACAGAGAGAGAGAGAGAGAGAAGAGAAAGAGAGAGATTCAAACTGGGCTGGAGAGATGGCCCAGAGGTTAAGAGCACTGACTGCTCTTCCAGAGGTCCTGAGTTCAATTTCCAGCAACCACGTGGTGGCTCACAACCATCTGTAATTAGATCTGGCGCCCTCTTCTGGCATGCCATTGTACATGCAGGCAGCATGCTGTATTCATAATAAGTTTGAGAAAGACAGAAAGAGAGAGATTCAAACTGCAATGGGCATCACTGCTGGGGCTCAGGACCCACTGGGGTCATGTTGGCTCTGTGCTCTGTGAAAGGAAGCTGGGCTAAGGTTGGATCCTGAGGTATAAAAGGTCAATAGATAGGATATCTCAGTCTCAAGCAATCTGGGGCCAGTATGGTGGTTCAGTGTCCACATGCTCTCAAGCCTAATGTCGTGAGTTTGAATCTTAGGACCCACTCCTGTGAGTCATCTCCTGAGCTCCACATATTCTGTGGCATTGTGTTCACGACATGGGAATCCTGTTTAGGCCAGGGTCTACCTACCCTGGCAGCAGAAGCAGCAAGCATGAGCCCATGACCACCACTGACGAGATAGGTGGCAAGGTCTCCCAAATGCTAGGACTCCCTCTACCCACCCCCAAAACAGGATTTCTTTGTGTAACAGCCTTGGCTATCCCAGAACTCGCTCTGTAGACCAGGCTGACCTCAAACTCAGAGAGCTCTCTGCCTGCCTCTGCCTCCTGAGTGCTGGGATTAAAGGCATTATGTCACCAGTGTGAAGGCCAAGCTGCCCTGCTAGAAGTAAATATTCATTAGAAGCCTCCACCTACACTCCACATTTTTACCCATCACACTTGGAAACCTCGGAGCCTCAAGTTCCTACTGGTTCAGATGCGTCAAGGGCAAAGCCAACACTATCTTCCAGCTAGTCTCCTGGTTCTTGGCTTGGGCATGGTGGTGTATGCCTGTGAGCCCATCACTGGGGAGGCAGAGTCTGGAGGACTGAAAACCGGAGGCCAGCCTGGAGTGATCCTGTTAGCATTCCTTCTAGGCTCCGCCCTGCCGTAACCTGGAAACAGGCAGGTATGCTTGACTAATAAAAGGGGCTGCTTGCTCCCCCTTCTCACTCTCTTACTCTCTTTGTCCCTTCTCTCCCCATTCCCTTCCCCCATCTCTCCACATGTTCCTGGCTGTCCACTCTTCTTTCTCTTCTCTCTCCCCGACCCCTCCCCTGCTTTTGCCTTTCTCTGTCTCAACTCCCCTCCCCATACCCTAAATAAACTCTGTTCCATACTATATCTGTCATGTGGCTGGTACCTCAGGGAAGGGATGTCTCAGTGTGGACCCACAGAGGCACCTCCTTCCGCCTCACCATACCATGACTCTACCAAACATATCCTGGTTCGTTCTTTTTATAAAACTCAACAGATCCTGTCTCAAAACCAAACCAAAACACAAGTCTGTATCTGTGATCCGTGCAGTTCAGGGTGTACATTAACTCGTGACCGATACTTAGTATCTTCTAGCAGTGGTTCTCGACCTTTGGAAAGCTGCAGCTCTTTAATATATTTCCTCCTGTTGTCCTGACCCTCACCCATAAAATTATTTTTGTTACTATTTCATAACTGTAATGATGTTACGGTTATGACTTGTGATATAAACGTTTGTGTTTTCTGATGGTCTTAGGTGACCCCTGTAAACAAAATATTCAATTCCCAAAGGGGTCGCCACCTACAGGTTGAGCACCACTCTTCCGCCAGTGTTGGGTAACTTACTTGGTGGTGCACAGTTTCCAAGCAGCAAAGGTGGGATTTGAACCCAGCCATGCGTTTACCACTGTCTCCTACCTTGATATCCCTGTCTCCCAGGGGCTCCTCTCCTGCATCTGCCCAACTTTGCAGTAGTGTCCACTTCTAGCCAAGATGTAAATCACTTCCTTGCTGTGCTAAGGTCCCTCTGCTTAGAAGCATTTGGCATTCTGGGAATCCAGATGTTGCGGGGGAGGTGGGGCACCAATTTTTGCAGAGCTCCAGTCCCTGCCTCTTTGCCAGCCATAGCAGGGTCCAGGTCCGCCATAAAAGCCCCTTCAACCTTTGCCCTCTTCTGCCTGCCTGGAAGAATTGCTGGGTGAGGATCAGCTAGGTAGGCACAAGGCAAGGAGCGGCGTCAGTGTCAGCCAGTGGGGGCGCTGTTCAGGCTCCTGGGCATCAGTGACAGGCCCAGATGTTGAGGCACTGGAGTGGAGTGGACCTGGGGAGCCTCTGGCTAGGGGAGTTGGAACATAGGACATAGGTACTACTCCATCGGGTCCATGTGCCCACTGATGCCAAGGTGACTTCCCAACACAGGCTTCTGCTGAGTCCTCAGGTGCTGCCAACCTAGTGGGGGATGGGGAATGGGCAAGGGGCAAGTGAGGCCACCAACCCCGATGGTACCTAGCAAGACTCCGGATTCATTCCTGGATTCTCTCTGCCAGAGCCCAGGGGTCAAGTTCTGATAACTTCTGTTTATCCAAGCGCACAAAGAAGGTAGCCCCTTCTCCCTGCAGGAGAGCCTCAAAACCTCCCTTCCCAGGCTGCTTTCCTCAGCAGCTCCGGTCACCACCTCTGTTTGTTTCTTCCGTTCTCTTGTGCTTGCTCTGGCCTGCTCCCTGATGTTGATAGCCAAGAGCCAGAGATTTTGGGTTTCTCTTTCTTTTTCTTCCTTCCTTCCTTCCTTCCTTCCTTCCTTCCTTCCTTTCTTCCCTCCTTCCTTTTTCCTTTCCCCCTCCTCCTTCCTCCTCCTCCTCCTTCTCCTCTTCCTTCTTTTTTTTTCTTTTTCAAGACAAGAGTTTCTCCGTGTAGCCCTGGCTGTTCCAGAACTCACTCTGTAGACCAGGCTGGCCTCAGACTCAAGAGATCCATCTACCTGCCTCCCCCTGGCCTCCGCATTCTCAATTCACTGGCAGGTGGGGCGGGGGATGGGGGGGGGGGGGAGCGCATGGACTGGGGTGAGGAGCGAGCCTTTAGTTTAGACACAAGCTCAGGACCTGTGAGCCCGTAGGCTTCTCCCAGAGTGACTGCCAGCGAGCACGAGGTTGGAAACGGGATTGCCAAGTCTGACTGGCTTTGCAGGAGAAAATGGAAACTAGAACCTGTGGTCCACAACTTTATCCGTCACTAAGCCTTCGAAGTTGGGTGATGGGAGAGCTGGACCTCAGTGGAGCCCCGTCTGCCCCTCCTTTTCTCCCTCCCGCTGGTCTCCTCTCTCCTCCCACCTGCCTGGCTTTCACTTTTTAATTCCTAGTCGTTTTAGGTTTTCCGCTCAACTGCGGTATTTGATCACCCTAGATCCGGGCCGTACACTTAAGTTTATCCTCTACAAGATAGGGCCCGACACCGGGCTCTAGAAGAGGTTCGCAGTGACCAGGCCAGAAATGTTCTGGGCACTGCTGGGGGCCAGCGGCTGAGTATCGTGTCTTCCCACCCCCACCCTAAGCCTCAGTCCCCAGTCTTTCCGCCGCACGGGAACGGGCTCTCCTTTTGCGCTCACCGGGATCCACAACCCACCCCACATCCTTGCACCTGTAACTCATACCCACTTCCCCGATCCTGCCCTGCAGCCGATTAGGCTGCTCTCCGGAGCGGGGAGAGCGGAGGCGGAGCTTCCCGCCTCCCTGCCTGCCCCTAGGATGAGGTGGGAGGGTGGGCCGAGGGCGGGGATCTCGGCTGTGCCTAATTGGCCAGGCGCGCAGCGCTAGCGAGCGCAGTTACAGCCGGTGTCCTGCCGCCGAAGACTCAACAACCCCAGATTTCCGCGCCCCAAGTCCTGGAAGCCGCCCAGTTCTCTGTGGCCTCCGAGAGCTCCGGAACCCCCAGCAGCTGCAGCTCCCCGGGCTCCGACGTCTAGCACCCCGGCGTCTGCGCTGGCACCATGCTGCTCAAGTGAGTCCGTTCGCGGTTGTGTCCCGTGAGTGGGATGGGGGAGCCGGGGACGCACCCGAACTTAAGGCTGAGAGCGCCCGACGGTAGCGCAGCGGCCCAATACCGCCGCAGATGTCCCCAGTTCCCGACGGCTAGCGGCCACACCTGGACCTGCCGGCATGGACAGCAGGGGGCGGCGCAGGGCTAACCTGCTGCACCCGCGGACCCGACCCCGGCGCGCGTGGGCGGCTTGGAGGAGGAGGAAGGGCAAGAGCGGGGGCTGAAGGTGAAGACTCCCAGCAACCCTGGGCACTGGCTTAGCCGCCGCCGCCCTTCTCCCCGTTGATTTCCCAGAAGTGAGGATGTGTGTTACCTCAAAGGCCAGCTGATACCCAGCGCATGAGGACAGGGTACCTCCTTGTACACTTGACTTCCCTTACAGATCCACACTGGGCAGGGGGAAATGGGAAGTGGGAGGGGTGTGGGAGGGGTGTGATGTGTGTGATGTGTGTGTGTGTGTGTGTATGTGTGTGTGTGTGTGTGTGTGTGTATGTGTGTGTGTGTGTGTGTGAGACAGTTTTGCACTCTGGCTTTTTGCTAAAATATTTCCCTCAGGCACTTGTAGCGTGGACGCTTGGTCTCCACTGGCCACTTGTGAGGACCTCAGTCCACAAGTGTCCTAACCACAGTCTCCAGGGAGAGAAAAGGGGAGACCTTGCAAGCTGCAGAGTGCCTGGTGGCCAGTGGCTGGTTTGAGTTTGTGGTTTGCCCACTGACCATTGCTGCAGGATGCTCTCTCTGTCTCTGTCTCTCTGTTACTCTGCCTCTTTGTCTCTCTGTCTCTCTCTCTGTGTCTCTGTCTCTCTGTGTGTGTGTGTGTCCCCGTCTGTCCCTGTGGCTCCCCAAGGATTTCTCTTAATAATTTTTTGAGAATTTCAGGACTGCCATTGAGGGAGAGTGAGCTTTTGTTAAAGGTGTGTGGGCAACTGTGAAGTGTCTGGGACCCGCTGCAGGGTCTTAGCTCCTATAAAGAGTCTCCATAGAACAGATGGTTTTGAGAGACTAGACCAGCTCTGGCTAAAGTATCCAAGGCTGCTTTAGAGTAGGGTGAAGTGCCCGCCCTTCCCACCACCCCTCTCCCCCTCCCCCCTCACTCCCACCACCAACCAGACCTCCTGTGTCAGAGAAGGAGACTAGGCTGAGATACACAGGACATAGTCTTTTGTGTATCACCAAGGTTCTGGAACATGGCTTCCCATCAAGTTTGGTTTCAGACAGACCTGGCCCTCTCCTGCCTCCTTTGGGGCCACCAGGTGTCTCCATCTCCTTTAAATACAGCTCGTGTCCTTCTACAGGTGGTTAGGTTACAGGGAGGGGGCACAGACTTCAAAGTGGGAACTCTCAGAGCCCTTTCTCCTCACATAAGTCAACTGTCTTTCTGAGTTTGGGAGCTGTCAGACTCTCTCTCTCTCTCTCTCTCTCTCTCTCTCTCTCTCTCTCTCTCTCTGTGTGTGTGTGTGTGTGTGTGTGTGTGTGTGTGTTCCTGGTTGGATTCTCAGGTCTCAGTGGAAAACCAGCCAGGGGTTCCTCCTCCAAGGGAGTTCATGCTTTCTCCTAGGTGTTGCTATTTTGTGCCCCCGGGAAGCAGCCAGCCTGTTTGGAAGAAGCTCAATCTCACCCGTTGTTCTAGCGGTTTCTTTTCCGGTCGCTGTCTGTTCTTACTGCTGTTTATCAGCCTTCGTGCTGGTAAGTTTGGATGCTTCGGGCTGTGTGGAGCATAGATGCAGGCCATTAGGGAATCCCTGGCCACTGCCCCTACGGCCTCCCCAGAGGCCCACTGGAAAAAGCTGGATGCCCATCCCTAGGTTGATATGTAAGGTTGGTGGTCAGAAAGGGAAGTGTTTGTCCAAACTTTTATACTTCTCTTTGCATTTCTTGCTTGGGGTCAGTGGAATGCCCCTCCTGGTCTCTTTGCATGGTAAATCATAAAAGCCACCTTTGAGATGAGCTAGGGGTGGGACCCTGCCAAAGCCAGGGAGGGACCAGTCTTGGCACTAGGTGGAAGCTGGCACCTCACACCTGAGTTGCTATAGGATGCTCGCTCCCGGGCCCTCCTAATGAAACTTAGTGATGAGTTCCTTCCTTGCCTCGGTGGGTTGGGACAGGGTGGGTGTTTGAATCTTAAGTAAATACATTGTGTCGATTTTGAACCTCTGCAGAGGCTGAGGTCAAGGAAGTCCATGCCATGGTGGGCAACGATGTGAAGCTTGGTTGTGTTGACCCTCACAGAAGCCATTTCAACTTGAATGATCTGTATGTCTATTGGCAAATTGATAACCTTAACGCTGTGGTGGCTTACTACCTGCCTAACGAGTCCCCAGGGATCCATGTGAACAGCTCCTACAAGAACAGGACCCATCTGTCATTGGACCACATGAAGCAGGGCGACTTCTCTCTGCACCTGAAGAATGTCACCCCTCAGGATACCCAGGAGTTCACCTGCCGGGTATTCAGGGAGTCTACAGTGTTAGACAAAGACTTGGAAGAGGTGGTCAGGCTGTATGTAGCAGGTGAGACTCTCCAAGCAGAGACTGGCTTTTGCCTAGCGTGATGCTCTGGGAAAGTCCTGAGGAAATCCCATTCCGGACTGTCTCGGTGGTGGGCTTCTGTGCATCCGTGGAGCTCTGAGTAGCAGAGCGCATAACTCAAGACCCTCCCCGGTTTCAGAGAACTGCCCATTGAGCCATCTTTGTCTTCTGTTGCCTGATTCACCTTGAAGTAGATACTGAGAACTGAGTACTAGGGGGTTTGGGGTTGGGATGACGGCTCGTTAGGTAGCGTGCTTATTATACACACGTGAGGATCTTAGTTCAAACCCACCACCTGCCTAGACTCAGGCATCGCAGCATGCATTTCTAGTTCTAACACTAGGGAGGCAGATAGGTGGACCCTTGGGGATCACTGGTTAGCCAGCCTAGCCTCCTGAGCTTTGGGCCAGTGAAAGGTCCTACCCCCCCCCAAAAAAAAAAAAAAAAAGGGGGGGCCGGCTCTGGAAGAACAACACTAGAATACATGCAGCCCTCCCCAGCCAGCACGTTCGCAAATGTGTGTGCACCCAAGGAGTAAAGGATACTGGAAATCTAAATGAGGTTGGAGTTTAGAGGAATGCTTTTAGTCTGCTAAGGATATGGGGCTCTTAATGGGGGCAGATGTATGTCCAGTGAGGAAAACTAGCCCCACATGAGGGAGCAGGAGTTTGGAGTGGGAGCTGTCACTACCCACCAGGCTCAAGTGTCTTTCTCCTCATTCCCCTGTTAGCTGCATTAATTTCAGCTCTAGGACCAAAATACCTGATATAGACCACAGAGGGGCAGAGATGTCCCACAGTTTCAGGTTTCAGACCATCCTGGAGGGAGAGGTACGTATGTCCAGACAGCCCAGATGGCGGCAGGAGTGTATGGTAGAGTCTGTTCAGCGCACAGCAGACCGGGATGCAGAGAAAAGGGCAGGCTGGCTCTTCGCTCCTTTTCCCTTAATTTAAAACATGTGTATGGTTGTTTTGTCTGCATGCGTGTCTGTATACTATGCGCATGCCTGGTGGCCACAGCGAGTCTAATCTCGTGGGACTGGAGTTACAGATGGTTGTGAGCTTCCATGTGGGTGCTGGGAATCAAACCCAAGACCTCTGGAAGAGCTGCCAGTGCTCTGATCCATCCCCTCTAATGCCCCCTCCCCCTTTTGTCTCCTTATCCATTCTCCCAGTGCATGATGGGAGTTAATTCAGTTAATCCCCTAGACCTCCTCATAGACAACAAGCATCTGGAACAGATTGGTTTCAGTCCAGTTTCGATTTAGCCATCTATATCTGTGAGGCATTTCACTCCACAGGCAGCATGAGCTTTTATGGTTTTGTTTTGGTCAGACATCCTCCACTGGTCAAGCCTCCCTCACCGCTGCCTCCTTTCTGCCCCCACCCCCACCCCACAGCAAACTTCAGTACACCTGTCATCAGCACCTCTGGTAGCTCCGACCCTGGCCAGGAACGTACCTACACCTGCATGTCTAAGAATGGCTACCCAGAGCCCAACTTGTATTGGATCAACAGGACAGACAATAGCCTGATAGACAAGACCCTGCAGAATAACACTGTCTACTTGAACGAGTGGGGCCTGTACGACGTCGTCAGCACATTACGGATACCTTGGACACCTCATGTGGATGTAGTCTGCTGTGTAGAGAATGTGGCTCTCCACCAGAATATCACCAGCGTCAGCCATGCAGGTGAGGACCAGGCTGAGGCTCAGAGGGACTTTGAGAGCATCCTGGTTGTAGGTTAGGCGAGGTCCAGGGTCATAAACAGACTCCTTACAGATGATCCCTATCCAAGAGAGGCAATGAGAGAGGCTCTCGGTTTCTGAAGGCAGGGACAGTGATTGCTGCTCAGTCCTGTCACAAGAACTTTCCCTCAGGCAGATGATTAGCGTGCCTGTCACCCACAGCACGTGATGCTTGAGGTCGTTAGCCAATGAGGGCTAAGGATCTCCAGGGCCTCCTCAGCAGCCACAGAACTTGGTCGGAATTGCGGGGGGGGGGGAGGCATGCTAGAATACTTCCCTATATTCTCTTTCACACCCCTTCTCCTACCCCAAGGAATTCAGATGGCCTTGGCTGCTGGCTGGGTCCTCTATGGACCACAAAGACATGACCCTTCCCAGAGGCCATAGTTGTCCCAGTCTAGGTAAGGGACCAAGCCAGTCACCAGATATCAGAAGAATGATCGTCATGTCCCAAATAGGTGACCCGCAGAAGGATAATGCTGGCAAGAGGAGGCCAGAAACTGGGGTGCGGTGGGGTAGTAAATAGCTGTCTTCTTTGGGGTCGGTAACGATATTGGTATTCTTAGTGGGCACCAGTGTGTTGTACAAACCTCAAACAGCATCGCCCTCAGAAGAGCCTGTATTTCTTTTTTTCTTTTCTTTTCTTTCTTTCTTTCTTTTTTTTTTTTTTGGTTTTTCGAGACAGGGTTTCTCTGTGTAGCCCTGGCTGTCCTGGAACTCACTCTGTAGACCAGGCTGGCCTCGAACTCTCGAACTCAGAAATCCGCCTGCCTCTGCCTCCCAGGTGCTGGGATTAAAGGTGTGCGCCACCACCGCCCGGCGAGCCTGTATTTCTTATATACCCCTCCCTTGCAAGCCTGGGGACAGTGGCTCCAAGTCTCATAGTAGGACAAGGGACCTTTGCCCGAAAGAGCACCCATATACCAGCCTGAGATTTTACAACTCACACAATGACAATAGGAAGCCTTTTGAAAGCTGTTGTCCCCCTTGTTCCATGGAGAAGACTTTCCCCATCACGGTCCTTACGTGTTGAGCATTTTCCCTTTTCCATTTTTTGGGGGTGCTAGGTTGGGTAGAGACAGGATTTCTCTGTAGACCAGGCTGGTCTCTGCCTCCCCAGTGCTGGGATTAAAGGTATCTGCCACCACCGCTCGGGCCTCATGTAGTCTAGGCTGGCCTCAAACTCACTGTATAACCAAGGTGACCTTGAACTCCTGATCTTCTCTGCCTCCACCTCTGGAGTGCTGGGATTACAAGCGTTTTTCAGCCATCCTCAGTTTATGTGGTGCAGCGAACCCAGGGCTCGATGTATGCTAAGCACTCGCTGTGCCCACTGAGCAACACTCCCAGCCCAGTTTCTCTTCCCTGCAGATAGTTTCACTGGAAACCAGGTCACAAAGAACCCGCAGGAACCGCACAAAGCGGAGATGAGCACTATTTTCTTCGTCCTCGCTGGAGTACTGGGGGCAGTGGCTGTCATTTTCGTCATGGTGTACAGATACAGGCGTTCCCGCCGGAGCTATACAGGTTTGTGTGAGACTCGTTGACTGTTTACCTATGGATGCATTGGTTTCTACAGCTTCCTACACTTTTTGAGAAGATTTCATTTGAGATCCAGTTTTAAAGTAGGTCAGTGGTGGTGCACTCACCTTTAATCCCAGCAACTGGGAGGAAGAGGCAGGTGGATCTCTTTGAGTTCGAGGCCAACCTGGTCAATAGATCGAGTTCCAGGACAGCCAGGACTACACAGAGAAACCCTGTCGTGGAAAAAAAAAATCCAATTTTAAAAGTATCAGCATACTTAGCAACACAGCCTGAATCCTCTCAGGAGAGGGTTAGACCCTCCATTTTTAATAGAGCCAAGCTAGCAGCAAGAAGCTCACATTCCAGGCTCAAGGGGATGATGGAGCCTAGATCCAGAGGTGGGATGGATGAGCTGGGGCATACTCGGCCTTTAAAGGCACAGGCTCACATTTAAACCCCCAAAGGACAGTTCTCAGAGATGGGATATAGCTCATTTCTGCATTCTGTTCTAAGTTATGGGCAGGTATATGCCTGGAAGCCTTGTGCACTCCAAGGACAGGCCCAGAAAGTAGCAAAGTCACCACATCCTACACATGGGCCACGATGCAGGCTCTATGGCCAGGAAGTCTAGAAATGCTGGAAGGACTCTGGGAAGCTAAATAGAGCCCCTCACAGACCCTTCTTCCCTTTCCCACGAGATTTCCTAGTGTTTCCTGTTTGTGGCCAATACCAGTGGAGTCTGAGCAACATTCCTTAGCCAGGCTGTGCTAGGTCTCCTGAGCTGGGGACACACAGCAGCTTCATTTTTTTTTTTAATATTTTTACTTGTATGATGTAAGTGTAGAAGCCTATAGAGGGCTGATGAGCATTGGATCCCCTGGAGCTAGAGTTATAGGTGGTTGTGAGCCACCATGTGGGTGTTGGAAACTGAACCCAGGTCCTCTGGCAAGAGCAGCAAGTGTTCTTAACTCCTGTCTTAGCCAGGGTTTGTATTCCTGCATAAAACATCATGACCAGAAGCAAGTTGGGGGGGAAAGGGTTTATTCAGCTTACACTTCCACATTGCTGTTCATCACCAAAGGAAGTCAGGGCAGGAACCTGGAGGCAGGAGCTGACACAGAAGAAGCCATGGAGGGGTGCTGCTTACTGGCTGGCTTCCCCTGGCTTGCTTCCCCTGCTTTCTTATAGAACCCAGGACCACCAGCCCAGGGATGGCATCACCCACCATGGGCCCTCACACCTTGATCTCATGGAGGCATTTTCTCAAGGGAGGCTCCTTTCTCTGTGATAACTCCAGCTTGTGTCAGGTTGACACACAAAACCAGCCAGTACAACCGCTGAGCCCGCTCTCCCTTTCTGACACCAAGTATCTTAAGTGCTCCCTGCACACTTTTTTTTTTAAAGATTTATTTATGAGTACACTGTAGCTGTCTTTAGACACACCAGAAGAGGGCATCGAATCTCATTATGGATGGTTGTGAGCCACCATATGGTTGCTGGGAATTGAACTCAGGACCTCTGGAAGAGCAGTCAGTGCTCTTAACCGCTAAGCCATCTCTCCAGCCCGCTCCCTGCACACTTACTCCTTGAAATCCATCTTCCCTTAAAAGGAGCCTAGAAGGGTGATGCTACTGTGAGCCCACCCTCCAACAAAGCCTGAACCTCTTTGCTTTGACCCACAGGACCTGGGACCGTACAGCTTGAGCTCACAGGCGAGTGTGCCTGCGGGGAGAAGCCGGTTGGCTGAGCTATCCTGACCTTTCACACCTTTGGTTGGTAGTTTTCCATACCTGATGATTCCAGAGATGCAGAAACCCTGTCTTGTGGTGGAGACTTCTGGACCCTGCACAGCAGACAGTCTGTCATAGGTCCCTCCTGTCTCTGCTCTGCAGGACCTCATAGACTCTGTGACTCTGGCAGTCCAGAGTCCCTTGGTGGAGGTGTATACTCTGTAGTTTCAAGAACAGTTGCAGGTGGATTCCGTCATCTCCAGAGGTGTGGATTCATATCCCGATTTTGGAAAAACATCCACAGAGGTATTTGGTTTTCCACAAGGAGAGCCCTGGCTTTAAGTACCTTTACTACCTCAAAGTGACTGTGCCTTCCCAAACCTGGCTTTTTCACGTTAGAGGCGGTAGTATTTGTGGTCCTCTTGTGGAAGTGGGGCCTGTTGTTTGCTGAAACCCACCACCCCACTCCAGTGGACAAGCTAGTGTCAGACCACTTTGGAACAAACGAGTTCTGAGCCACCTGGTCCTAACCCAGTCACGTGACTGCGATAAGCAACTGCTTCTAGTTTTTAGCCCTCTTTCTCCTCACCAGTCTGAGTCCCCGGAAGAATCATTTCATTGTCTCCAAAATTTAAACACTGAGCATGGTTCGGTAGCGTGAGCTTGCCTGACAGGCGGGCATGAGGAGGCAGGGCCTGCCTTCACCTTCCTCTCTCTTCCCTCCAAGACCATGCCTGACAGGACTCTGCCCAGGATGTGGACAGGGTTTCTGGGAGATGCCACCTGGTGGATGTCAGACATAGCTTCAGAGTGGACTCCCACGGGCCTGGTGACAGAGGCAGACAAGGAGCTGTAGGCTTATGGGCTGTGATGGAGGACGGGAATGTCCGGCTTTCTGAGAGATGGAGGCTTCCTCCCAGAAACCCCGAGGGAGATCTTTCCAGTGGACAGCAACAACATCATTAAAATATGAAGCCTCCAGTGAGCCGTCAGCACAGAGAGGAGCAGCTTGGGAGGAGAGCCTTCCCCCGGCACATGACTCAGTCCCAGCATCTTTTATAAAAGGGCATTTGAACCACTCTGAAAGCACCTACAAAATCTACTGGAGACCGTTTCCCTGCGGGACCTTCAGAGGGGGAGGAAGTCTGACTTTAACTTCAGTATCAAGCTACCTGGGCCTCCTAGAGGATATGTGGGGTTTTGTCTACAGAAAACCTGCTGCCGGCTGACAACGGTTAGGCTCAGAGGTTTGGGGCACTCGGCTTCGCAGCATCAACAGGACATGCCTCAAAGCAAAATATGGCCCATGTGCCACATACGGGGGCTTCTCCCTCATCATTGAAGGCCCTCAAGCCTGACTTCCTGTGGATACAGAATCTTCTTGAAAGCCTTGAGCTCATTCAGAATGTACAGAAAATGGAGGGGACAACTCCACCCAGTCTCAGCAGCCCCTGAAGACCTCAACTCCAGCCTCCTGGGTCTCCACGTTGCTGGCCAGAATAGAGCTAGCTGTTTTGTTTCTAGATGGTTCTGCAAAGTTGACTGCATGAAAACCCAGGTGTGCACAAGCTCCAGGTTGATGCATTAGGGGGCATGGACTCCCCCATGGAACACAGCATCTGACCCTAGTTGAGGGCAAGCTCCTTCCTATCCAGAGGCCTGGACTGTCAGGGCCTGTCTGCTGTGTGGCTGGGGCCCAGTGCTGACGGATATGTGAGATCTCAGTAATGAGGAGTGAGAACCCTGGGCTCAGGCTCAAGGGGACCAGTATTATGAAGATCTATGGTTTTTTTTTTATGCACCCACATGGACTTTTTAGTCTTCACAGTGACTTATTCAATGAGTGTAAAGGACAAACCACTTAAGTTCTTCCTGCAAACAAAGCATTACTTACCTGTAGAATACTTACCTGTAGAATAGCAACTGTCGTTATGGGTCTTGAGTTGGCAGCTACAAGTAAACAAGTACAAGGAGCGGCTGGGGGTGCAAGAAACTGGGGTACAGTGTCCCCAGGACAGATGTTTGGGAGTTAAGGGTCTCCCTGAGGCCCACAGTTGCAGGAGACAGGCATGCCTCTTGTGTCCCAGGAACCCAAGAGTCTGTGGCAGCCCAGTAGGGGTATCCTGTCTACTTTCACTTTTGTCAGAGGTAGTTTAGGGTCAGAAAGAGGTCAAGCCAGTGAGCTAACTAGCTGCCTTGGGGCACTAGACCAGACACAACCCCCACTCCCGCCAGCCACCCCCCACCAGCCCCCCTCCCTGCTTATGTAGGCATTGGGAACCCTTCACAGACCCCTGGCTGTACAGTCACTGTCACCTGCTGATCCCAGCAGGCCCCCACCTTCCCGTGGAATCCTGGGAGCACGCCCCCCACCCCACCCCACAGCACATCAGCATTCACTAGACTTGCCCTGTAACCTCTGACTCCTTCAGCTCAGAACCTTGTGGTCATTCTTTAAGTTGTAGATGGGGCATAGTGACTTCTAGAAACCTGATAAGGGAATAAATATAAGATGTGCTTTCTGTCTTGTGTCTGGTGGCTTGTGTCAATGTGGGTGAGTCTGGTTCCATCAGCTCAGATGTTGCTACCACTATAGGTAGCTCTATTCCTCAGGGGACATGGGCCAGCACCCTTGCAGTTTGTTACAGCCCTGACTCAGAAGCCCAAGGTCTCTCCCATAGAACCCAAAAAATGTCCCAAGGTGGAAGGCCCTGACCTGGTAGGTGGACAGGGCACATGACCCCCAGATGGAACTCATCATTGCGTTCCTTGCCTCAGTTTCCTCTCTGTGATGTGAGGCACCGGGTCAGTTCAGTACAGACATTCCTGATAGAGACCCTGGTCTGGGATGACAGTTGTGGCTCTGGAATGGCCAGCCTCAAGAGAAGATGGCTCTCTGCTGCTGTGGACTGCTCTGTAGTGGGTCTGAGGATGTTTCAGCTTGCTCATTTACAGAGTATCCCTCCCTGCCAGGGTCCAGCACCAGCCTGGCTGCTGTATCTCCCTCCCGGGCCAACCTTTTAAACAGAGGACAAGCCCATGCATCTGATGAGGCATCAGCCCCTGTGACAGTCAATCTGGGAATGATTTCACCCTTTGTAGCCCTTTGTCCCACCCACAGAGGAGGATGCCAGGAGTCTAAGGAGGTGAAGACTTGTGGAGGCTCTGCTAAAACCCCCTCGCCCACCCTGAGGCTCCCCAAATTAGAAATTCCCAAAGCCCCACCCCACCTCTGATCATTGCTAGGGAGCCCCTCCTATCCCAGTAAGCAGAGATGAGGCTTTCATGCGGACCCCTTTTAGGCTGTCCTCACCCCAAGATTTCTGACACTCTTTTCAGACATTCCCACAAGTCCTCCTGGGAACTGGTGGACTGTTGGCTTCAAACAGCACAGTCCAAGCCCAGAACGGAGTGGGCTCCTGATTTCACCATCTCCCTCCCCTTCCCCTCCCGGGAGGCCTTTAGTCACATGTGGCCACCACACACTGCTTGTCCCCACCTCCCCTTGACAAACAGGAGCTAAACAATCCCCCACCCCCTCCCCTGATGTCCCTTTCCACGTCCCAGACCATGGAGCGCTTTCCAAGGGCTCCACCCAACCTCCGAGGATTTGGGTAGTTGGAGGGCCTGGTGAATGAGCTGGGTAGGAAGCAGGCTCTAGGAACTGACTTCCCAAAGAACTAGCACCCCACCCCCCATCCCTCACTCCCACCAAAACTGAGGCAGCTGTTGACTTGGGAAGCTGCAGACTTGGACATAAGAAATCCCCATTTATGATGGGGGCTGATAGTCACTTAGGCATGCAGACCCCATTACTCTATACTGTCCCGCCCAGCCTGGGTTACAGAGTAAGTTCTAGGGCAGCCGAGGCTACAACAGAGAGACCCTGTGTCGAATTAACATACACACACACACACACATACATATATATATATATACACACACATACGTGTATATACATGTGCATATATATGATGTATATACATATATAGTTGTATTTATGTAGTTATATGTATAATTATATAGCATTATATATAGCTCTCTATATATGTACATATATATGACTCAAAATTGGCGTGGAGTAGCTAGAATCACCCTGTGAGGTCCCTCCCTGATAGCTTCTTTTTCTTTTTTTCTTTGTCTTCCTTCCTTCCTTCCTTCTTCCCTCCCTCTGTCCCTGCCTCCCTTCCTCCCTTCCTCTTTTCCTTCCTTCCTTCCTTCCTTCCTTCCTTCCTTCCTTCCTTCTTTCCTTCCTTCTTTCCTTCCTTCCTTCCTTCTCTCCTCCTCCACCTTACCTTGTTTTTGTTTTGTTTTTCAAGACAGGGTTTCTCTGTGTAGCCCTGGCTGTCCTGGAACTCGCTCTAAAGACCAGGCTGGCCTCGAACTCAGAAATCCACCTGCCTCTGCCTCCCAAGTGCTGGGATTAAAGGCATGAGCCACCACTGCCCGGCCATAGATGGCTTCTTAAAGAACAGCTAGGCAGAGGTGGCACATACCTTTGGTCTCAGCACTCAGGAAACAGGCAGTCAGATCTGTTAGTTCAAGGCCAGCTGGTCTACAGATCCAGTTCCAGGACAGCCAGGGCTACACCGAGAAACCCTGTCTTGAAAAACAACAAACCAAACCAAACCAAAAACAAAAACTGGCTCAGGCCTTTGTAACTTACTGACATTCTCTGGCTTTTTCTTTTTCATTCTTGAAAACCATCCAGACACCATGAGAAACATCAACAACCAACAAGCCTAGCTATGACATAGGACACTCTTTTGCAAGTTGGCACAGCTGAAGTTGTTTGTCTAGAAGCCAGTGCTATGAGATGTCACCTTAATAAAAGAAAAACTACACATATAATAAATTACCGTGTACATACTGTTCAATGATGGGGCTCGGTAAGTTCCTAGGTAGACCTCAGAGCAAACACGGGCAGAACACAGAGCACTACCATAACCCTGCTTTGGGTATCGAATACTCTGGTGCTGGGATCTTTACCCTGATGCCTCCTTTACTTTGCGTCATGATATAAGTAACAACCACAGTGTCTATTCTTTGGTCATTTCCCTCTTCTTTCTTGCTATCCCAGAATCAGGTGGCCAGCCTGACTCCGCAGGGACTTTGGAGACCATCTGGAAACAAATGTGTTTGGTTTTTGAAGGGGGATAGCCAAATCCTATCTCCAGAACCAGTGAACCAGTTGGTCAGCAGCACGTGACACACATATAAACAGAAGCCATTTGTTCTGTAAACCAGAACCCAGCGCTTTACACTGGACAGAAGATTTACTATTGAGTTCATCAACTACTGACTGAACCCAAAGCACCCGCTGTCCTAGTGAACAGTATAGATCTGTCCAGATAAGCTGTATCATCACAACTCGGGATCATGGTCCCTTTGAGAGTTGGTGGTGGCACACGCCTTTAATCCCAGCACTTGGGAGGCAGAGGCAGGTGGATTTCTGAGTTCGAGGCCAGCCTGGTCTACAGAGTGAGTTCCAGGATAGCCTGGGCTACACAGAGAAACCCTGTCTCGAAAAAACAAACAAACAAACAAAAAAGAGAGAGTTGAACAACTCCTTCATGGGGATCGATTATCCGATATCCTGTATATTAGAAATTTACATTACAATTTATACTAGCAGCACTAGAGTTATGAAGCAGCCACAAGGATAATTTTATGGTTGGGTGGGTCACCACAGCACGAGGAACTGGATTAAAGGGTTGCAGCATTAGGGAGGTTGAGAACCACTTATCTATTGGGTCACCCGTTGGGAACTGGGATTGACAAGTTTCTCTTTAGAATCTTTAAGTTCATGGGTGAGCACCCATGATCAAGGAGGCTCAAGCAGACAGCATGTCTCTCCTGAGATTCTCCCTAGGGATACTTGGGGTAACTGACTGCTTGGAAGCCTATAGTCACAAAGCCACAATCAAGTTGTTGTTTTTTGTTGTTGTTGTTTTTAAGACAGGGTTTCTCTGTGTAGCCCTGGCTATCCTGGAACTCTCTCTGTAGATCAGGTTGGTCTCAAACTCAGAGATCCAAAGATCCGCCTGCCTCTGCCTCCTAAGCACTGGGAATAAAGGTATGTACCCCCACTGTCTGGTCCCTCTGTGTTTCCTTACGATCCTTTAACAAGAAGGCTCTGTGAATGTAGGTGGATTAGAATTCCCCCACCACCTCCTCCAATAAAACCTCCCAGGGGATCTCGGAGCCATGCTTCCCGACAAAAGAAAAATCAGAGGTTTTTATTTAAATGACTAAAAGTCTACTTCTACGCACGGTGTTTAAGAAACCATCGCAGGACTGTGTTTATTGTCCTGTGCGTTCTTTGACTCTCTGGGTTTATTGTCTTGCTTGGTCCTTTGCATCTGTTGTATTGCTAGTTCCTCAACCTAGAACTTACCTTAATACATGCATGTAATTTAAATGTTATAAAAGCAAAAAAGGAGGAGGGGGTGGGATTGGGGATTAATGGGGGTGGGGTGGGGAAAGGGGATACCATCTGAAATGTAAATAGATAAAATAATAATAATAAAAGAAACCATCTGAATGGTGATTTTGGATGAATCTTGGAACCAGTTCTCCCATCGACAATGAAAGAAGAGAAAGAGAGGTCTTGGGCCAGGATTGTCCTTTCTCTACCCACAATCCCTAATCCATCTGGGCTCAGTGAGTGATGTCTGCTGTGGGGAGAGGCTGGAGTAAGTAGCAGGATTTTTGCACTTGCCCATGGCTCGGTGCCCTGTCATCTCAGTTTTTTTAGTCCTTCTCTGGGCAATGTTATTCTTTTGTCTCTCCCTACAGACACTTGGGCCCAGGTCCCCTACAGGGACTATTTGTATTCAAGATATCTAATGCTGTCATGCCTCAAAACACATGGTTTGCCGTAAAAGCCACTGTCTCATCTGTTTAGACCACGCAGGCTCAGACAGGTGCCAGAAGTGCCACTTACTGAATCTACTGAGCACAAGCTATATAATGGATAGGCTTTGCTCCAGAGTACAGACCACCCCAAGCCCCAGGCTGAGACATTTCCAATGAGCAATAACCCAACCACGTTCACAGAGAGCCAGATGCAGAAAAGGAGGCATGTTCCAGATCATCAGCTAGTGCAGACATCTGAGGCGCCACTGGGGAGATCTCAGAGCCAAATTCACCATGAATCGAGCTTGGTTTCAGACCTAAGACAAGGGAGTGAGGTGCTTACTTTACACACTAAAACATCCCTGACTTCCAGGTTCTCCCAGAATCCCTCAGTCCATACCTGGCATACCCTGTCCCCAGCCCTGAACTTTCCAGCCCAGGGACTGGGCTGCCCTTCTCCCAGAGGTTCCTCCCTATATAATCCAGACATTTTGGTCCCCTCCTTCCCTCCCTCCTTCTTTTCTCCTTTCCTCTCTCTGCTCAAATGCTTCCTTCTCTCTCTATCTCTCCCTCCCCCATCCCTCCTTTCCCCATGTCGACTTCCCTGGCCTTGGTCCTTGGGGCCAGTGAACTCATTCACGGGACAGCAGCTTCCCAATAAACC